GAATTAGACTCTATTCAAGAGAGTCTATTCTATTGGCTTTCAAAAGCCAATAGAATAAAAGGGAGGAGCACAGCTAAGGAAAAGGGGGGGGGGGAAATGGCAGACTGCGTTGTTTGGCGACCCCCGTGAAATGGTCGTTTGACCCCAAATGGGGTCCCGACCCACAGATGGAGAACCGCTGGTATAGGCTCTCTCCTGCTTGAGCAGGGGGTTGGACTAGAAGACCTCCACGGCCCCTTCCAGCTCTACTCCGATGAATTAAATCTCCACTTGTGGCGTGGGGTTCATCGGGCGTTGCACGTCAGGCAGAACCAGCTTTCTGGGCCAACCCTGGGAGACTCTGCCAGCCACCCTACCATTGCAGTTGTTCTGGCAGCAGGAGCCCGGCAAGGGGTGGGCACAGAGGGGAGCCAGGCACTTCCGTGGGGTGCAGACCAGCTCCCCCCCGGAGCAGACGCAGGCCTGGCACAGATCCAGCGGGTTGGGGGCTTCCTCCCCGTCTGGCACCACCTGGTTCTCGTGAAGGCAGCCTAAATGGGCGGGGAGGAAGGAGGGGAAGTTGGTGCTGAGACTCACATACACAGCGCTGTTGGACTCCCCCTCCCATTATTTTTATGCATGGATTTATTACAGTCCTGAGATGGCTCAGGGCGGTTTACGGTATAGTAAGGAGTAGACCTGTAAAAACCATGATCCATATAAAAAGAGATTAAAGTTACAGATGATTAAAAGCAAACTTTCCTTTCTTCCCGTTCCTCCTCCTCCTCTTCTTCCGTCTCTCCTTCCCTTTTCTTCCCTCTCCTTCCTTCCTTCCTTCCTTTCCTTCCTTCCTTCCTTCCTTTTCCTTCTCTTTCTCCCTCCCTCTTTCCCTTCTCTTCCCTCATCCTTCCTTCCTTCCTTCCTTTTCCTCCTTCTCTTCTTCCTCCCTCCCTCTTTCCCTTCCCTTCCCTCTTTCCTTCCTTCCTTCCTTCCTTTTCCTCCTTCTCCTCATCCTCCCTCCCTCCTTCTCTTCTCTCCTTCCTTCCTTCCTTCCTTCCTTCCTTCCTTCCTTCCCTCCCTCCTCTTCCCTTCCTTCCTTCCTTCCTTTTCATCCTTCTCCTCTTCCTCCCTCCCTCCCTTCCCTCCCTTCCCTCCTTCCTTCCACTTAGCAATAGCACTTGTATACTTCCTTCCTTCCTTCCTTCCTTCCTTCCTTCCTTCCTTCCCTCCCTCCCTCCCTCCCTCCCTCCCTTCCTTCCTTCCTTCCTTCCTTCCTTCCTTCCTTCCTCCACATCTGGAATTCCAGAGAAATGAAGCAAGAGGTGGAAGGTGCCCCATCGATTCCCTCCTGTTACTCACTTGGGCAGGTAGGACAGCAGGATCCAGGCCTCCGCTCTGGGTGGGGGCAGGTCACGGGTGGGCAGACGGTGGGTGAGCAGTGGACGGTGCCCTCCTGCAAGAGAGGAGACGGACGGGAGTTTAGAGCCGAAGGACCCTCTGATTCTGCTCCTCATCCATCTAATCCAGAGTCCTTGGAGAAGCTCCAATGGAGATAAATATGCTTTTATTTACTATAATCCTTCTCATCTTTTCTACTACCTTCTTTTATTGGTATCATTATTATGATTGTTATTATTTTGTTGTTTGTATGTAGACTGCCAGCTTCTTCACTGGAGACAAATTCCCTCTGTGTCTGATCACACTTGGCCAGTAAAGAATTCTATTCTATTCTATTCTATTCTATTCTATTCTATTCTATTCTATTCTATTCTGTTCTGTTCTGTTCTGTTCTGTTCTGTTTTATTATTCTATTCTATTCTATTTTGTTTTATTATTCTATTCTATTCTATTCTGTTTTATTATTCTATTCTATTCTGTTCTATTCTATTTTTCTATTCTATTCTGTTTTATTATTCTATTCTATTCTATTCTTTTTCTATTCTATTCTGTTTTATTATTCTGTTCTATTCTATTTTTCTATTCTATTCTTTTATTATTCTATTCTATTTTTCTATTCTATTCTGTTTTATTATTCTATTCTACTCTATTCTATTCTATTTTTCTATTCTATTCTGTTTTATTATTCTATTCTATTCTATTTTTCTATTCTATTCTGTTTTATTATTCTATTCTATTCTATTCTATTCTATTCTATTCTATTCTATTCTATTCTATTCTATTCTATTCTAATTTCTATTCTATTCTCTTCTAATTTCTCTTCTCTTCTATCCTATCCCCTATTTTCTATTCTATTCTATTCTATTCTATTCTAATTTCTATTCTATTCTATTTTATATTTTCTATTCTATTCTATTTTATATTTTCTATTCTATTCTATTCTAATTTCTATTCTATTCTATTCTATTCTATTCTATTCTATTCTATTCTATTCTATTTTATTCTATTCTATTCTCTATTCCATTCCATTGTTAAATTATGATAGTCCTTTTGACCTTTTTGGAATGAAAAAATTACCCCTGTTCTTATGACGATTCACAGCCCAAATAGAAACGAATTAAGCCTCTGTAACATTTTGCATGGTTCATATCCACCCAGATAATAGTGCAAATGTGTCCCTTGCTCTTCCACTAGCCTGGATGTTGCTTTGTCTGAATGTAGCAAGGCCGTGAGCAACAGGGCCAGAAAGACAGCGCAGGCAGGTCCCCTGGTGGAGACCCTAATGGCATCATGCATGTCATCATGCCAGCGACACGGACGGTGCATTCAGATCAGCCCCGCGCAAATTGCATCGTCTCAGCTAAGCGACAACATCAGGATGCTTCCCCTTCCATGGATGCCCATGAGAACCAATTGCAGAGGAATTAGAGACCCCCCAAAGGAACCAACAAAAGGATGCTTGACTTTGGGGTGTCGGTTTAAGGATTTGGGCTGCCAGACAACTGAAGGAGGGCAGGAATATTTGGGGGTATCTTTCCTGGGTCGGAGCTGAGGGGTCTCACCTTGCACTGGCAATTCTGGCAGGGATTGTCCAGATCAGCAAATTCTTGGCCGTGGTTGTAGAGGCGCTGGTTGTAGAGACACTGGTGGCACTGGGGGCAGCAGGAACCTTGAAGGAGGCAGAGGGGAGGGTGCTATGACCCCTGGCACAAGGGAGACCCTCGGCCCACGTCTAAATTTCCAACAGCTGAGCACTTGTTCCCACCCAGGCGGCGATACACAGCACTGCAGTGTACCTGTCGCTCCGACAGTGAGACGGGCAGCATTTAAATGTAATAAATAAAGCGGGGGGGGGGCACCGAATCAGGGGAGAGAAGAGGAGCAGAGAGGGGGTGCTAAGACCCCTGGTGCAAGGGAGACCCTTGGCCCACATTTAAATTTCCAACAGCCGAGCACTCGTTCCCACCCAGACGGCGAGACACAGCACTGCAGCGTACCTGTCGCTTCGACAGCGAGACGGGCAGCATTTAAATGTAATAAATAAAGCAAATAAATAAAGCGGGGGGGCACCGAATCAGGGGAGAGAAGAGGAGCAGAGAGGGGGTGCTAAGACCCCTGGTGCAAGGGAGACCCTTGGCCCACATTTAAATTTCCAACAGCCGAGCACTCGTTCCCACCCAGACGGCGAGACACAGCACTGCAGCGTACCTGTCGCTTCGACAGCGAGACGGGCAGCATTTAAATGTAATAAATAAAGCAAATAAATAAAGCGGGGGGGGCACCGAATCAGGGGAGAGAAGAGGAGCAGAGAGGGGGTGCTAAGACCCCTGGTGCAAGGGAGACCCTTGGCCCACAATTAAATTTCCAACAGCTGAGCACTCGTTCCCACCCAGACGGCGAGACACAGCACTGCAGCGTACTTGTCGCTTCGACAGCGAGACGGGCAGCATTTAAATGTAATAAATAAAGCAAATAAATAAAGCGGGGGGGGCACCGAATCAGGGGAGAGAAGAGGAGCAGAGGGTTCCTTAGAAACCGAAATGCAAGAATGTCTAAATATTATTTAGTGCAAGATTTCTTTTTTTTAAAAAATGAACGATCTCTTAGAACAGGGGTCTTCAAACTTGGCCCTTTTAGGACTTGTGGACTTCAACTCCCAGAATTCCTCAGCCAGCCATGCTGGCTCAGGAATTCTGGGAGTTGAAGTCCACGAGTCATAAAAGAGCCAAGGTGGCCTACCCCTGGCCTAGACCCATCTAGACCCATCTTTGTTTTCTTTAATGTTAGCTTGATTTTTTTTCTGACCATGACAGAGCCAGAAGCTGATTATTGACCAGCACCTTAACCCTGCCAACCCCCCCTTTTTATTTACCTCTTCCTGCAACCGGGTTCAGCGCCATGGATCTCAGAGGGGAGGGCCCTGTGGTTTTGGGGGGAGGGGGACACCAAAGCACTCACCGAGAAGCCGGGCTGGATGCTGACAGGCGACAGGGGGGCACTGGAGAGCACGGCACACCATCTCCCCCTGGTGGCAGGTGCAGGCTCGGCACGGATCGCCTGCTGGCGCCCACTCGGTGCCATCTTCAAATTCCAGGCCCTCGAAAACACACACTGGCGGTCGCCAGGCGAGGGAGCGGTTGAGTCAAACTGGGTTTCATCCTGGCCAAGCTGTAAAGCACAGACCTGGATTCCCTTCCCACCACCTCGCTCCCCGTGTTTTAACGTTTGGGAATGGACACCGGGGACTGTATTCACACGAGATGCCATACGGGTCATCCTCGACTTACAACCAACGTTGGTTTAGCAACTCTTCAAGTTTGCAACGGCGCTGAAAAAAAGGGACTTGGAACAGTCACTAAATGAATGATTGTTAAATCGCGGACTATCTGTATTATTTTTACAAATAAGTCAAGGCGGGGAACACAACCGACATGTGTTACTCCTCCTGTTTTCCTTACAACATTTCACCATGTTGAATAGCAACAACCTCATACGAAATGCCAGGCTACAGTTTCCTCAATCAACCTCAGCCAGTTGCATAAGCCACGAATCCCGGTTTATGATGCAGAATGGTGGCTACCTGACAGACACTAAGCCCAAATGAAAACCGCTTCGAGGTCACTATCGAATTAATCTTAACCTAGAATCAAAAGTACAGGTGATCCTCGACGTAGGACCATAACTGAACCCAAAGTTTCCATCGCTAAGCGAGACGTTCATTAAGTAAACTTTGCCCCCTTTTATGACCTTTCTTGCCAGAGTCATTAAGCGAATCGCTGCTTTTGTTAAGCGAGTAACACGGTCGTTAAGTGAATCCGGCTTCCCCCACTGACTTTGCTTATTGGAAGATCGCAAAAGGGGATCACGTGACCCCCGGGGGACACTGCAACCGTCATAAATGTGAGCCGGTTGCCAAGCGTCCTAATTTTTATCACGTGACTGTGGGAATGTGGCAAAGGTCGTAAATGTGAAAAACGGTCGTAAGTCACGTTTTTCAGTACCATTGTAACTTCAAACGGTCAAGGCCTACTTAGAATACGAAAGGAATTAAGGAGGCCTTTGGGGTTCACTAGCCCATTCCAGGTGTTCTGCAACAAGCCCTGGAGATGGCTCAGACAAGTGAGCCAGGTTGCATGCTGTAGGACATCACAGCCCAATCTGAGCCAGTGGAGCCCAGGTGAGGAAATGAATAGCAGAGTGATCAAGGAGCCCGTTCCCTATTCCCAGATCCTCTCCAACGGTCACCTGTGCACACCGGGCAGCAGCGTTTGGGGTCCTGGAGGGGCTGGGAACATGGCATTGGGGGGCAGGATTCCTCCTGGCACCGGACATGCCCATCCTGAGCGAAGAAAAGAAAGAGACGTGAATTCAGGAAGTTTAAGAGGGGTGGACTTCCACTCCCAGAATTCCCCAGCCAGCCAAGAGTCTTGCAATTATTCACGAGTTGGCTGGGGGATTCTGGGAGTGGAAGTCCACCCCTCTTAAACGTGCCAAACATTATATTAAAGATTCTTGCAATTCTTCACCACCTGGCTGGGGGATTCTGGGAGTCGAAGTCCATACTTCCTGAGTAGTAAATAAAGAAGGGGAGGGGTCAACTTATTCTCCAAAGCCCCCCCGAAAGGCCGGACAAGAAGCAATGGATGGAAACTAATCAAGGAGAGAAGCAACCGGGAAACTAAGGAGGAATTTCGTGGCATTGAGGACAATTATAACCAGTGGAACAGCTTGCCACCAGAAGTTGTGGATGATCCATCTCTGGAGAAATTGGCTAACCATTTGTCTGAAATGGTCTATAGGGTCTCCTGCCTGAGCAGGGGGTTGGACTAGAAGACCACGAGGTCCCTTATTATTCTCTCGTGTTATTCTGGCCCCCGGTCTCACGATTCGGCCCCCTGCCCAGTTGACCAGTTCTCCCATCACAGGCTACTCACCGAGCACTGGCACTGCAGGCAGGGGCCTCCCTCGGCAGGCGAGAACGTCTCTCTGTCCTGGTACAACCGTCCTTCAAATTCACAGACTTGCAGAGAAGATTCCAGAAGGGAAAAGAGAAACGTAGAAGTTGAGTGTCAAACTTTATTTTTTTCTCCTTGGCTTAACTCTGGAGTAATTTTAGGATACCTCCTACCTCTCCCCCGGGGCCATTTCTACACCTGCGACGGGGAGACAGGTGAGAGATTTCCGCCAGAAAGAAAACTACATAGAAATAGTCTTCAGGTTATGACTTCAGTCGAGTCTGCCCATCACACCCGTCAGTTGTGATGGTCGTAAAGCAAGTCATCATGTGGCTGATCCAATTTTAAGACCTTTATTTGTGATAGTGTGTTAAATGGACTGGTTTTTGTTTTGTTTTTTTGCTAGGGGGAGTTTTGGCCCAAAACTAGAACTGAATGTCAGTTTCGGTGTGTGTGTGTGTGTGTGTGTGTGTGTGTGTGTGTGAGAGAGAGAGAGAGAGAGAGAGAGAAACCTGCCATAAATTGTGGCCATAAGAATGTAAATCGGGGGTGGTTGCTGATCCCCCTGTGGGAGATGAAAATATAGCCCCCTCCTCATATAATATGTAAATCACAGTAGTGATCTACAGCTTTAACTTGATCTTTATATTGTTTCACAATACGGACGTATTATTTGCAATCTGCTGAGCTTTGTGCAAGATGAAATTGCAAAGTAAGCCGTTCTACGTATATTTGGAGTATTGTAAGCGTGGGAAAAGAGGAACAGAAAGTAGCTGATGGACATGAGTTCCAATGTACGTGGGTATACATGGAAAATTATAAAATGCGATCACGTTGACGGTGGGGTGGAGGTGGGGAATCTGCCTATTGGCACGTTGAATCCAGGTGATACATAGCCCAAGGAGTTTTGTCGTCACTTTGAACGGTCACTAACTGAAGGATGATTTAGCTCTCCGATAGATACGTGTGGCCCTCGACTTCAAATAGTTCATTTAGTGACCAAAGTTTCAACGGCACTGAAAAAAGGGACTTATGACCATTTTTCACACTTACGACCGCTGCAGCATCCCCCAGGGCAGGGATAGGCAACCTTGGCTCTTTTATGACTGGTGGACTTCAACTCCCAGAATTCCTGAGTCAGCATGAGGGAACTATGGCCCCCTCATGACTCGTGGACTTCAACTCCCAGAATTCCTGAGTCAGCATGGCTAAGCATGGAAACCTCCCCCTTTCCCCTCAGCATGGCTGGCTCAGGAATTCTGGGAGTTGAAGTCCACGAGTCATAAAAGAGCCAAGGTTGCCTACTCCTGCCCCAGGGTCATGTGATCAAAGTTCAGGCACTTGGCAATTGACTCGTATTTATGACGGTCGCAGCGTCCTGGAATCACGCAATCCCCTTTTGTGACCTCCTGACAAGCAAAGTCAAGGGGGGGAGCCAGATTCACTTAACAACCATGTTACTAATCGGCTCCTATTTATGACGATTGCAGTTCCCCGGGATCACATGACTCCCTTTTGCGACCTTTGGAGAAGCAACTTAACAACCGTGGGACTGACTTAAAAATCGCAGCGATTTACGTAACAACCGTGGCCGGGAAGGTTGTAAAATGGGGCGAAAACTCGACGAACGACTGTCTTGCTTAGCAATGAAAATGTTGGGCTCCATTGTGGTCGTAACTGGAGGACTAGTGGAGAAGCTCTTTCGGTCTGATAAGGTACAGTGTGCCCATTAATGTCCGCACGGCCCCTTCTATTTATAATAATAATAGTAGTAAAGTTGGAAGGGACCTTGGAGGTCATCTAGTCCAACCCCCTGCTCGGGCAGGAAACCCTACACCATTTCGGACAAATGGCTGTCCATTCTCTTCTTAAAAACTTCCAGTGTTGGAGCATTTACTGCTTCTGGAGGCAAGCTGTTCCACTGATTAATTGTTCTCACGGTCAGGAAGTTTCTCCTTAGTTCTAGGTTGCTTCTCTCCTTGATTAGTTTCCACCCGTTGCTTCTTGTCCTGCCTTCAGGTGCTTTGGAAAATAGCTTAATTCCCTCTTCTTTATGGCAGCCCCTGAGATATTGGAATACTGCTATCATGTCCCCCCTTGTCCTTCTCTTTTACTTTTTACATTCTCGCAACGTCTCCTGAGTAAGATAAAATCAGATCGAGTTTTGCTTTTCCCTTCAGAACGCTGGCTAAGATAGACTCTTCCTGACGTGGCGGCTTTATTTTCCACACTCAGCCGACGTTGAGATATTCAGGCCGAATACATTTGGGGAAAAGTTTAAACTTCCCGCGGAAAAAACTGTCGCCCGCCGTGTGGCTCAGCCGCTCTCGCTCTGCAAGGAAGCTGGTCACTAAGTGGAGATCCCTGGGGGGGGGGGGAAGGATGGGAAACCTGGCACGGGGGGGGGACAATGAGAGAGGGAGCAACCTACCGTCGCAGGTGGGGCAACACTGCTCTGGGTGCTTGCCTGGATGGCTGCAGAGGGCAGGTGGGCAGCTCACCTGCCGGCAGGAGACCTCACCAGCCTGTGGGGGCAAGCAGATCACTGGAGGTGTCTGTGCCCCCCAGGACAGACCCAGCCCCCCCCCCCAGCCAGCAGACTCACCCCACACCGGCAGTGTTTGCAGCGGTCTTGGGACTGCACGGCATCGCCACTGCGGTACTCGCGTCCTTCCCAAAGGCAGCCTGCAGGGGGCGACACACGGACTCCAAATGTCTGCCCTGGAAGGTTGGCCGGGCTCCTCTGAAAACCACCAGCAGGGGGCAGCAGAGCTGAGTTGGCCAATTTGGCCCCACTGGGAGGGAGGCCTCCCATTGTTGGGGGACGATGGGGTTTGTAGTCTCTGCTTTCTCTCTCGGTGATGGAGATGAGAGGATAAGGGGATTTGCTGGACCAGCTCCAGAATATTCTGGACCTGGTCCAGCAAATATCCAGAGAGAAGCAACCTAGAACTAAGGAGGCATTTCCTGACAGCGAGGACAATTAACCAGTGGAACTGTTTGCCTCCAGAAGCTGTTGGACTAGAAGACCTCCAAGGTCCCTTCTGACTCATTCTATTATCCTGTAACTTAATCAACCCTCCCCCCCCCAAGGATGAGGCACATGGTTGAGGGAATCAAGATGGCAGTGGTTCAAAGCCCTGAATCCTTTCAAAGGGCACCCTAAATTTATAATAATAATAATGTTGGAAGGGAGCTTGGAGGTCGTCTAGTCCAACCCCCTGCTCAGGCAGGAAACCCTATACAATTTCTGACAAATGGCTGTCCATTTTCTTCTTAAAAACTTCCAGTGTTGGAGCATTCACCGCTTCTGGAGGCAGGTTGTTCCACTGGTTAATTGTCCTCACTGTCAGGAAGTTTCTCCTTAATTCCAGATTGCTTCTCTCCTTGATGAGTTTCCATCTGTTGCTTCTTGTCCTGCCTTCAGGGGCTTTGGAGAACAGCTTGACTCCCTCTTCTTTGGGACAGCCCCTGAGATACTGGAAGACTGCTATCCTATCACCCCTCGTCCTTCTCTTCGTTAAACTAGACATACCCAATTCCAGCAACCGTTCCTTGTATGCTTTAGCCTCCCAATCCCCTAATCATCTTCGCTGCTGTTCTCTGTACTCTTTCTAGAGTCTCAGCATCTTTTTTACATCGTGGTGACCTACACCACACTTGTAAAAAAAAAAAAAAGATTTAAGGCTTCCATTGCATAAATATGACACCATCTTGACTTTTGGTTTATCTGTGATGCTTGCCCAATTAAGTCATCGTGGTTTGTCTGGGATGCCCATCGTGGTTTGTCTGGGATGCCCAGACCCCCTTTCTGCCCAATGGTGTCATTATCGTTTATCTGGGAAGCTTAGCTCTCCTTTCTGCTCAATGACACCATCATGGTTTGTCTAGGATGCTTAGACCCCTTTCTGCCCGATGATGTCATTGTGGTTTGTCTGGGACGCCAAGCCCACCTTTTCTGCCCAGCAACATCATTGTGGTTTGTCTGGGACACCTCGTGCCTCCCCTTTCAGTCCAGAGCCCCTCCCCACACCAAGACTCACCGTCACAGACGGGGCAGCAGGTGCCCGGACGAGGGCGGGCAGGGTGGCGGCACAGACTGGCACACTGCCTCCGTTGGCAGATGGCATTGCCCTCCTGCAGCAGAGGGGGGAGGAGGAAGAAGGGGGTCCTTTGAGGGGCGTAAAAGGATTTCTGGGAGGGGGATTCCTACTAGAAGTTCGGCTCCCCCCCTGCCCCAGATTTAAAGAGGCCAGTGGCACTTCCTTGCGGGCACAATCGGCCGTACAGAAAAAAAAAATGGCCGTACAAAATTCCCCGGAAGGCGAGGCTGTCCTTGACTCCAGTGTGACTCAAGAGGACAGTCCCAAAAAGTCAGGACGGACCCTGCAGTGGGGCGACGGAAACCCCGCCTCTTTTTACATTTAGTGACCGTAATTGGGACCTGTAACTTGGTCGTTAAGTGAAAACGTCACTAAGCGGATCCCCCCTGGTCTGACGTCAGCCTTCCTTGGCTGTGCAGACCCGAGAAAGCGGCAAACGAGATAGGACTGATTGCAAGGTGATTTTTTTTTCTCACCCCGGTCGTAACTGCGAATGGCCGCTAAACGAGGCAGTCGCTAAACGAGGACGATTTGTACGCCACCGTCTTAGATTTCTTTTTTTGACCCTCATCTGTGGACTTTCCCTGATTTTTCACCTCTGCTCCTGTGGGTTTTATGGCGTGGTTTAGCGTCTTTCATATTTCCTGGCGTCTCTCGCCCTGATGCCCGACTGGCTTTTAGCGCTGGCCGGTCAGCTCGACTCGGCAGTGGGTCAAGCGTGACGCTAGGAATTGCAGGGACTTCACGGCCTGAAAGTCACGGGTGGACAGCTGGACACTGCTGGGGCTCACCTGACATTTGCACCTCAGGCAGGGGTCAGTGGGGGGCGTCCACTCTTCCCCGTGTTCGTGTCTGGCGGTTCCGTTCACACAACCTGCATCATGGAGGACAGAGGGAATACTGGATGTGAGAAGCCCACGCAGAGGTGGAAACATGGATTCAGGGCAGACAGCCCTCCACAAGAAAACAGCCCCGTTGGGAGAGCACTGAAGACCCCTCCTCAAGTCATTCCTGAGCTAGTGGGGGTTCCTTTGTAATGTAGCAATATACCAGCCTGGATCTTATCTACGGGCCTCTATGGAAACCCACAACGTCCAGTTGCAGAAGAGAAGAACCACCCCACCCCACAGACACATCCAGGGACCACCCCAAAAGCAGATTCTCCCCCAGAAGAAGCTTCTAGCGGCAGCAATGGAGGAGAATTCTCCAAAGCCCCTGAAGGCAGGACAAGAAGCAACGGATGGAAACTAACCAAGGAGAGAAGCAACCTGGAACTAAGGAGGAATTTCCTGACAGTGAGGACAATTAACCAGTGGAACTACCTGCCTCCAGAAGTTGTGGGTGCTCCAACACTGGAAGTTTTTAAGAAGCGACTGGACAGCCATTTGTCTGAGATGGTCTAGGGTTTCCTGCCTGAGCAGGGGGTTGGACTAGATGACCTCCAAGGTCCCTTCAAGCTCTATTCTGATTGATTGATTGACTTACAACAGTTCATTTAGTGATTGTACGAAGTTACGGCAGCACTGTAAAAAGTGATTTATGACCACTGCTCACACTTACGACCGTTGCAGCATCCCCATGGTCACATGATCAACATTTGGACCCTTGGCAATTTTGACTCATTGATTCATTGAATCAATAACTGCCGTGATAAGTGAATAAATGATTGAAAATGAATGAATAAATAATCAGTGATTGACCAGTGAAATGAATTGATCAATCAATTGACCCAATGAATCAATGAGAACCAGTGATTGACATGATAATGAATTGATTCAATAAATCATTACTCTACTCTACTCTACTCTATTCTATTCTATTCTATTCTATTCTATTCTTCTACTTCATTCCATTATTCTATTCTATTCTATTCTATTCTATTCTATTCTATTCTATTCTATTCCATTCCATATTTTCTATTCTATTCTATTCCATTCCATTCCATTCTCTGCTCCGTTCCATTCAATTCCGTTCCATTCTATTCCATTCCATTCTCTGTTCCGTTCCGTTCCGTTCCCTTCCGTTCCGTTCCGTTCCATTCCATTCCATTCCATTCCATTCCATTCCATTCTTCTACTTCATTCCATTACTCTATTCTATTCTATTCTATTCTATTCTATTCTATTCTATTCTATTCTATTCTATTCTATTCTATTCTATTCTACTCTACTCTACTCTATTCTACTCTTCTTTGCAAGAGCTAAAATGGAAAAAGGGCCACCATCCCATGCCCAGCACATTCCTGGCCGATTCCCCAAAAGGCACCGAGACCGGCATGGTGAGTCTCAAACCCCAGGCACTTCCTCACCCTGGCAGTGCATCCGGTCGGGCTGCAGTTGGCACTCGACCTTGCCCTGCGCACACACGCAGGAGGTGCAGGGGTCTCGGTCCCAGGAAGCCCCCTCCTCGTAGTGCTGCCCATCTGCAAAGCAGGTCACCCGCCGGCACTCACATTGTTCAAGGGACTTCAGCCAGCTCCTCAGGTCGGAATTCTGTCGGGGAAGGGTGGCAGACAGCCAGGGTGGCAGAATCAGAATTGTGTGTCAGCACACCCGAAGTGTTAATTATGTATTTAGAGCAGTGGTTCTCAACCTTTTTAATGCCACGACCCCCAACCGGTCGTAAGTCGAGGACTACTCAACCGGTCGTAAGTCGAGGACTACTCAACCGGTCGTAAGTCGAGGACTACTCAACTGGTGCAGCACCGTTTGCAGAATGGGACTTTTGGCGGGTTCAGAAGGGCAAAGACAGCCTGGACAATTCCTATTGGTTTTTGAAAGCCAATAGAATTAGACTCTATTCAAGAGAGTCTATTCTATTGGCTTTCAAAAGCCAATAGAATAAAAGGGAGTAGCACAGCTAAGGAAAAGGGGAAAAAAATGGCGGACTGCGTTGTTTGGCGACCCCCGTGAAATGGTCGTTCGACCCCAAATGGGGTCCCGACCCACAGGTTGAGAACCACTGATTTAGAGTAACAATATGGAAGATAGTAACTGACATAGTAAAGCTTTATACAGGATTTGGACTTATTTAGATGAAATGTTACTGATTAAAAAAAAAAGAAGGAATGTTATTAATAAACGAATATTGATTGTGTTAATGGGGAAAAAAAAGATATGGAGAGACAGTTGAAGTGTTAATTATGTATTTATGTTACCAGTATGGAATATAGCAATTGAAATAGTAAAGCTTAATAGAGGATTTTGATTTATTTAGATAAATCTTATTGATGAATGTTTTGATTGACTTAGTTGTACTGAAATATATTAACTTGAATATAATATACTACTAGACGGAATAGAGAGGGGTGAATTTTTTTAAAAAAAATGATTTAATTTGATCTTTACGAGTATGATTTTGTATTTGGACAATTGATTGCCCTGCCACCACAGTGATTCTTAAGCACTGGTTTGTAAAATGAAAAAACTAATATAACTTGTTTAAAAAAAAAAAAAGAATTGTGTGTGAGCACACTATTGGGCTGTTCCCTCCTGAACTAAGCATCAAGGTGAGAACCCTAAATTGCACGGAATCCAGGGCCCCTTTTGAAGAAGCTTTTCTTGGCCAAAATAAGTCCTCTTCTGCCTTGTTGGGTCTAGAGCAGGGATAGGCAACCTTGGCTCTTTTATGACTGGGGGACTTCAACTCCCAGAATTCCTGAGCCAGCATGGGGGAACTATGGCCCCTTCATGACTCGTGGACTTCAACTCCCAGAATTCCTGAGCCAGCATGGGGGAACTATGGCTCCTTCATGACTTGCAGACTTCAACTCCCAGAATCCCTCAGCCAGCATGAGGGAACTATGGCCCCCTCATGATTCGGGGACTTCAACTCCCAGAATTCCTGAGCCATCATGGCGCAGCTTGGAAACCTCTCCCTTTCCCCTCAGCATGGCTGGCTCAGGAATTCTGGGAGTTGAAGTCCATCAGTCATAAAAGAGCCAAGGTTGCCTAGCCCTGGTCTAGGGGGATGGATTGCCCATCTGCCTTCTGGTTTTCACGTCAGCCCGCTCTGTCTCCAAGACAACCCTCAAAAGGAATTGACTCAACCTTTCTGGTACAGTCCTCACCTGCTCCTTCACCATATCCAGCATGGTTCCCAGTCCCTCCACCTGCTCCTCCAGCCTCTGCATCCGGTCTTCCAGGCTGGCCACACCAGACCTCGCGGATCCCAGGGGTGGCAATTCTGCTTGGCTGGGCTCTTGTTGGTAGTGGTGGGTTTCTGCCAGGGCCGACGGCTCAAAGGGTGGCAAGGAATCCAGTTCCAGAGAAGGTTCCTCTGGGTGATCAAGATGCTGGTTCTCAGACAGACCGTAGGGCAGAGAGAACAGGTCCAGCTCTGTGGGTCAGCAACACAAGAGGTCAGGACGACCTGGGACGGGCGAGGAAGAATTTCCGGGGGTCTCCGACCCTCCTTTCCTGGGCCCATAAATGGGGGGATTATTGGGACACCTCCTCCTTTCAGCAGACCCAGGCCAATGAAGGTCAAGCATCACCTGAAGATATGCAGTGTGTAATGTACCGGTAGCCTGCAACTTACAACCACAGCTAAGCCCAAAATCTCCATTGCTAAGTGAGACAGTTTTAATTTTACCCCATTTTACGACCTTTCTGGTCACAGTCGTTAAGTGAATCACTGCAATTCAGTGAGGAGCACGTTGTTAAGTGAATCTGGTTTCCCCGTGGACTTTGCTTGTCAAAAAGTCGCCTGTGATCCCAGGACATTGCGACCGTTACTCAGCTGGCTTTTATGTCTAAGTGGAACTAGAACTCACCGTCTCCTGGTGATTGGCCCAAAGTTACTCAGCTGGCCTTCATCTCTAAGTGGAACTAGAACTCACCATCTCCTGGTGATTGGCCCAAAGGTACTCAGCTGGCTTTCATGTCTAAGTGGAACTAGAACTCACTGTCTCCTGGTGATTGGCCCAAAGTTACTCAGCTGGCTTTCATGTCTAAGTGGAACTAGAACTCACCGTCTCCTGGTGATAGGCCCAAAGGTACTCAGCTGGCCTTCATCTCTAAGTGGAACTAGAACTCACCGTCTCCTGGTGATTGGCCCAAAGGTACTCAGCTGGCTTTCATGTATAAATGGAACTAGAACTCACCCTCTCCTGGTGATAGGCCCAAAGTTACTCAGCTGGCCTTCATCTCTAAGTGGAACTAGATCTCACAGTCTCCTGGTGATTGGCCCAAAGGTACTCAGCTGGCCTTCATTTCTAAGTGGAACTAGAACTCACTGTCTCCTGGTGATTGGCCCAAAGTTACTCAGCTGGCTTTCATGTCTAAGTGGAACTAGAACTCACCGTCTCCTGGTGATAGGCCCAAAGTTACTCAGCTGGCCTTCATCTCTAAGTGGAAGTAGATCTCACAGTCTCCTGGTGATTGGCCCAAAGGTACTCAGCTGGCTTTCATGTCTAAGTGGAACTAGAACTCACCATCTCCTGGTGATTGGCCCAAAGGTACTCAGCTGGCTTTCATGTGTAAATGGAACTAGAACTCAACGTCTCCTGGTGATCGGCCCAAAGTCACTCAGCTGGCTTTCATATCTAAGAACTAGAACTCACAGTCTCCTGGTGATTGGCCCAAAGCCACCCAGCCAATTTTTATGCATAAGGTGGGACTAGAACTCGGAGCCTCCTGCTTTCTAAACCAGCGCTAATCCCCACACCAAACTGGCTCTTGTGTGGTTAAAACCAACTTCCTGAAAAACAGATGGAGGAAGTGTGCTCTCTGTCTGATGGAAAAATATGTATTTGCACATTTGTACTTGACAGAAGTCAGACAGAATAGCTAAGCTGGATGTCCAGCGATGTGCAGCCAAGACACCCCACGGCTGCTTCCCCCAGACGCGGCCTTTGCGCCATCTGAATCTAATTGACCGAAACAGAACCAGGCCAAATTATGCAAACCAGAACAAAGGGATCCCTTGTGCGAAAGTTGTTCGTGTGCCCGATTTCTTCTGGGTGCCTTGTTCTGTTTCTTTCCAGCTCGCCTCCTGGATCTCCACCAGAAGATGCAGCCTTCGAGGCTCATACTCGGTGGTGGCCGAGAGACGGGGAGGAATTGCTCTGGCCACGAGGCCTGGGCTGCTTGGAGTCTGGCCACTTCTCAGAGACCCCTCCCCACACCTCCACCCTCCCACCTGGGCCATTAGCAGAAAGAGCACGCTTCCTAGCCAGCTCTTTCTTTGTGGGAAGGGCTGAGAAAAGGGAGAGAAGAAGAAGGAGGAGGAGGAGGAGGAGGAGGAGGAGGAGGAGGAGGAGGAGGAGGAGGAGGAGGAGGAGGAGGAGGAGGAGGAGAATGACCCCAGGGTCCTGGGTGCTCTCTGAGCTGGGTGGCTTTCTTGCAGACGTTTCATGACCCAACTAGGTAACGTCATCAGTGCTTGAAAGGAGTGGAAAGGAAGGAAGGAAGGAAGGAAGGAAGGAAGGAAGGAAGGAAGGAAGGAAGGAAGGAAGGAAGGAAGGAAGGAAGGAAGGAAGGAAGGAAGGAGGACTGTGGGGTCCCTGGTGCTCTCCAAGCTCGGTGGTTTTCTTGCAGACGTTTCATGACCCAACTAGGAAACCTCATCAGTGCTAGAAGGGAGGAGGAGGAGAAGGAGGAGGAGGAGAAAGAGAGGGAGAAGGGATGGAGAAAGAGTAGAAGAAAGAAGGGAGGGAGGAAAAAAGGGGAAAGGGAAAAGGAAGAAGGAGAACGGGATAGAGGAGGAGGAGGAAAAAGAAAAGGAGAAGGGATAGAGGAGAAGGGGGAGAGGAAAGGGAAGGGAAAAGGAAGAAAGGAGAAGGAGAATGGAGGATGGAGGGATGAGGAGGAAGGAGGAGGCAGAGCCAATGCAGGAAGCCCAGGACACAGTTGCCAGGCCACAGGAGTGTGAAGCCAAGAGAGAGACACACACCTGCTGCTTGCCAGAATGATGGATCTCCTATCGACATCCAGTCCACCTGCAGAGAAACCTCTCCAATTTGGCTCAGACCTGGGCCAGCCAGTTGGCCTGCCCCTTCCAGGGGGCTCCCTTCCTCCTCCTCCTCCTGCCCTCCGTGGCGCTGGGCCACCCGGGCACCTGCGGGGCTCCAGCCTGCCTCTCTGCAGCTGTTGCCTCCTGTCTGGCTGGAGCCCAGCCAAGGCCCACGGCTCTTAGCCGCCCTGGACGGGAACATCTGGCCCACAGCACAGATGTCGCGGGGGGGGGCTGGAGGGAAGAAAAAGTTTCCCACTGCTGGGATCCCTTTGATCCTGGCCTCTCAGCTGCCCCCTCGGACTTGGTCCCTCCTGGAGGACCCCCCCCCAGTTCTAGGTCAGCGGGTTGCAGGGGAAAAAAGATCTTGCTGAACCACAGCAGTGCTACAAACTTCTCTCTCTCTCTCTCTCTCTCTCTCTCTCTCTCTCTCTCTCTCTCTCTCTCTCTCTCTCTCTCTCTCTCTCACACACACACACACACACACAGCCCCACCTGCAATTCGGTTGGAGACGCTTACCCAGCAGGTTCTCACAGTGCCAGGGGCGGTGGGGGAAGCCATGGGGGGAGATCTCGGCCGTCTGCCAGGAGCCCTGCAAAAAAAATAAAATAAAAAATCCATCAAAGTCACAAATGTCTAATGGTTAAGACATAAAGCTACAAAAAGCGGGAGACGGGGAGTTCTAGTCCCGCCTTAGGCATGAAAGCCAACTGGGTGACTTTGGGCCAATCACTGGGAGACGGTGAGTTCTAGTCCCAGCTTAGGCATGAAAGCCAACTGGCTGACTTTGAACCAATCACCGGGAGACGGGGAGTTCTAGTCCCGCCTTAGGCATGAAAGCCAACTGGGTGATTTTGGGCCAATCACCGGGAGACGGGGAGTTCTAGTCCCAGCTTAGGCACGAAAACTGGCTGGGTGATCTTGGGCCACTCACTATCTCACAGCCCAGCCCACCACAAAGAGTTATTGTTGTGGGGAAAGTAGGAGGAGGAAGAAGGATGAGATATATTTGTGTAAATAAATGGATAGATAGATAGATAGATAGATAGATAGATAGATAGATAGATAGATAGATAGATAGATGGATGGATGGATGGATGGATGGATGGATGGATGGATGGATAGATAGATAGATGATGGATGGATGGATAAATAACAAATGAATAAATAACAGACAAACTAACAAACATGGAGAGGTGTATAGCGAGGAAAGGGCAATGCCAGTCCTATCCTTAGCAATATCCATAACGCTCTACACCACTCTTGATGCACAGCTTTCTCCCAACTTAACTTGCAAGAGGTCCTTGAAACCCTTAGCCCCTCCCTCCCTCCATCCATCCCCCAAATAACTGTCTTGTCCCTTTTTTTTGAATGTCTGCAGGTTGGCCGCCATTTCTCATCTCCTTGGATTACTTCCCTGGCTAAAAAATAAATTTCCAAAATGACCTTTAAAAACATGGGTGTTTTGCTAACGCAAAAATTCCACCAGGGTTCACAGCTTAGAGAGCCCCCCTCTGATAGACTGGCTAAGCCACTGTCCGAAGAATAATACGGGGTTCCAACTGAAGTTAAAGAAATCAAAATTAAATCCATGCAGCTGCAAGGAAAGGAAGATTATTTATTCCGAAAAGCAAGGTGATTCGCCCACGGGGATAGCTACAGGGAAGAAGAAGCACGGAACGGCTGTTCTATAAGTGTGCGCATCCTTGGTGTGGGGTCTTGAAGGGCGTGGGTATGTGTACGTGCTGGTTCTAGGGTGACACGTGAGGGTCATGCGTATGTGTATGTGTGGACCTGGAGAAGGGCTTAATTAAATCAAGTGATGTGTATGGGGTCTCTTCTTCGTTTGAACTGTGAGCATTATAATTATGTTTACATTGTGTTGATTGCATTTTGTGTCTTTGCTTGGGCCTGTTTACAATGTGAAATAAGTGTTTAATTAATTCCTATATTTGAGTAAGTTTAAAGGATTTCAGAGTCTGTTAGTCAGTAACTTTGCAGAGCCGGGTCTGCTAACATATAATTCTCTATGTAGTACAGATAGTCTTTGATTTACAACAGTTTGTTTAGTAGTGACTGTTCAAAGTTACGATGGCACTGAAAAATGTGACTGATGACCGTTTTTCACAGTTCTGACCTTTGCAACATCCTCATAGTTATGGGATCACAATTCAGAGGCTGGCAACTGACTCATATTTATGACAGTTGTAGTGTCCAGGGACCACGTGAGCCCCTTTTGCGATCTTTTGACAAGCGAAGTCCATGGGGGAAGCCAGATTCACTTAACAACAGGGTTACTAACTGAACAACTGCAGTGATTTGCTTAACAGCTGTAGCAAGAAAGATTGTAAAGTGGGGCAAAACCCGCTGAACAAATGTCTCGTTTAGCAACCGAAATCTCAGCCTCAACTGTGGTCATAAATGGAAGGCTTCCTGTATTTCTAACACAGCTATAAAAATGTATAAATTCTGCCCAAACCACAGAAAGGAAACTGGCATTAAGCAAGCCTTGTCCGCGGCATGAAGGAACCCCAACTGGCCTCGTTAAACTGACGGAGGATTGGGGTTCAGGGTTAAGCACCAAAGTGGGCTTGGCAACGTTCTGGATGCAGGTCACAGCTAACTGCCCCTTGGCTGGACTTACCAGGAACTTGCTGGATTCGTCTCCGGCCAAACTGGCAAAGGTGATCTGCAGGTCGAGGGGCAAGAGGAGGCTGAGTAGCTCCTCCCCACGGCGGTTCTCAAAAATGAAGGGCTCTTGGCAGTCCACGTAGAGGGAGATGCGCCGTGGCTCCAGGTTCAGGGCCAGCTGCGCCCAGCGGCCGTGGGCAAACGGGGTGCTTCCGGGGAAGACCAGCGAGGCCGGCTCCATGTTATGCACTGCCCGGTACGCCAGCCGTAACTGGTCCGCCTGGGTGCTGGATGCCAGCTGCAGGAGGGGCTGCCCGTCCCGCTTGGAGGCTGCCGGGGAGGCCAGGGAGATGAGCGTCCCCTCCGATCCGGGGTTCTGGCGGGCCACGAAGTGGAAGCCGAGGGCGGCTTGCACCGTGGACAGTAGGTAGACGGAGTAATCCCAGGGCAGAGTCAGGACGGGCACCCGTCGGCGGAACTTCCAAGCCGGGATGCCCGGATCGGGACCCTGGGTCTTGCTGACGCCTGGCACCGAGCGGCTGATGTTGAGCGCCTCCAGCAGGTCAAGGACTGTGAAGGGAGAGCAGGGTGGTTAGTGGCCGTGTCGCGTCTACACAAGTCCCAGTGCTGGAAGCCCAGAAGAACCAGGCGAGAATTTGGGGTGGGTGGGGGTTTAGCCCCTGGGAAGTTTGCAGGCGGCCCTGTGGCACTTGCTTGGGCATAATAGGGGTATTGAGGAGCCATCTCACCCCAATGGGATCAGCCTGTCCCACTTGCGGCCAACGCAAGAGGCCTGGTACGGACGCGGTCTGTTAAGGAAGTCTGGCGGGTGGGGTCAAGGAGAAGAGCCTTTTCTGCAGTGGCCCCAGCCCTTTGGAACACTCTCCCCCCCCAGCACTGCTCCAAGGCTTTTGGCCTTCTGAAGGGGGTTAAAACCTCGCTTTGCTGGTTGGCTTTAGACGTCGAGTAAACAATGCTCTAATTGAGGAAGCATCAAGGATACTCCCAGCAACACTGACAGGGTGAGCCACTAGAATAGAAACAGAGAGCAAACTCCAGATTAACTCTGCTGATGTTACCTAGTTGGGCCATGAATCGCCTGCAAGACCAAGCAAGCTCAGAGAGCAGCAAGGACCCCACCCGCCTCCTCCTCCTTCCTCTTCACAAACCCCACTCCCTTCTAGCCCTGATAATGTTACCTAGTTGGGTCATGAAATGTCTGCAAGGAAACAACCAGGCTCAGAGTGCACCAAGGACCCCATGTTACTCCTCCTCCTTCTTCTCCTCCTCCTCTCCACAAACCGCACTATCTTCTAGCCCTGATGATGTTCCCTAGCTGGGTCACAAAATGTCTGCAAGAAAACCACCCGGCTCAGAGAGCACCAGGGACCCCACAGACCAACCCTGGGATGCAAAGTTCCCTTCTCTTGGTTTGACTCCAATGGGAGGGTTGATAAATGTTCCCACGGACACATTCTACACAGCAAGTACACAAGCTAAGACGCAGAAGGAAAGCACGAAGATCAGACAAGGATCCTGCAGGTCTCGTATCTCACACCTGGGCTTGGAAAGCACAACTGGGCCAATCTTCCAGGTTGTCTCCATACTGAACTAAGGTGGTTTCTTAAGGGAAGGGAGTTTGCAGGGATAACACCTGAGAAATAATGGGTAAAGCAGAGCCACAAGGATTAAAAAAAAAATGAGCTAAAAGCAAGCCTTAAAACTTGTTGGGGCATGGAACTCATTAAAACTCTGCAAAACAGCAAAGGGGGATGGGTGGGGTAGGTTTCTTATTCTTGGGGGTGGGGGAGGAACTTTCATGACAAGATGATCCTCGACGTACAACCACAATGGAGCTTGACAGTCGTTAAATGAATTTTGCCCCATTTTACAAACTCACACAAAAGTGACACAACAGAGCCAATTTTATCACATTTCTGTGGCAGTCATTAGGCCAACACCCACGGTCATTAAGCCAAACCGTGGTTCCTGGAAGATGCCTTTTCACCAAAAAACAGAAGTAAATGTAGCACTTGGAGGGAAAAAATTCATATAAAATGAGGTCACGTGACTGAGGGACACCGCAAATGGCCGTAAATGCAGCCTGGTTGCTAAGGATTGAATTTGGGTCACACGACCGTGTGGGGGTGGCCACCAGGACTTCAAATCTGGGTTAATAGTACCCCTAGATAGGCTCGTTAGAACTTCAATCAGCGACGGGGTCTCCTCTCTGCCATTGCAAAATCCCAGATACAGGTAGTCGTCAACTTACGACTTAGTCCTCACTTAGTGACCGGTCATAAAGCGAGGAGTACCTATATTTAGGATTTTGCTAAGGCAAAGAAGACGCCACAGCAGCCAACTAGCAGCCAATTCCTCCCAGCCAGCAGCTCAGTGCCAAAGCCACTATCCATCGCAGGGGGATAGTGTCAGCAACAAACAAGCAAAGCCCCATCCGCGGGATGCAGGCAGCACGCAAAACCACACACTCTCCGGTCCGTAGAAAAACCTCTGTCCGCAGAACCGGTCCCTGGTGCCCAAAACGTGCCCAAAGAGGTAGATTTTTTAGGCTATTCTCATGGTAAGGCCTGACTGCTAAAACCTTCATTTGAATTTTTGATCAACTCAGCCACCACGTTGCTTTTCAAATATTTAAATATAAAACTAGAAAATCAATAAAATTATCTTTAAAAAAAATCCAAAACACCCCCTTCATTTGGGTGAAGAATGCTAATTTTAAAAAAAAAGTTGACAAGAGACCAGAAATGTATAGTTGTATATAGATATATTATATGTAATTAATGTACAATATGGACTGAGATGTCAGTCAAAGACGATTTACCATGTTCAATGTTTTTAATCCTTTTTCTTCCTTTGTACTTAATAAAAACTTCAATAAAAAATAAATAAATAAAAATAAAAGGCAACAAAAGGGACCCTGCGGATCAGCGAGCAAAGAAAAGGCAGAAGCGTTTTCGTTCTGTCTCCTCCTCTTCCAACACAAAACTGGAGACTGTGGAAGGCAGGGTGACTGGGCAGCATTAAATGAGATTTATTTAAAGAGCGGGTTTCATTTTGAATGATGAAATCGCACCTCAAAATTTCATAAAAAACTTGCTGGATGAAAACTCTCGTGCCGTTTTGGAGAAAACCCTAGTCAAGTTCCAGCTGCCTGGAGGAGAGCAAATATTGTTGCTGTCTGCCACCCGGATATCCAGGAAGATGGGGCATCAACAGCTGGGAGTGATTTTCAGCAAATTGTCAAGAGGCCAGTGTGTTAGCACACACAGGGAAAGTCCTAAGAAGCAAAAGTCAACATGGTTTGGCCATGAAAAATAAATCTACAACTTGGTTCAGTTTGCCTTATTGCTCAATTGGATGAATGTTCCTCTTAGTAGATGGTGGGAGTGCTTGTAGACGTAATATATCTTTGCTTTCACTGGCAGGGGCACTTAGGTTACCAGGAGCGCTCAACTTACAATCCTTCATTTAGTGGCCAATCAAAGTTCCAACAGCATTGAAAAAAAAAGGGAATTACAACCGGTTTTCACTCTTGCGGCCATTTTTCACACTTACGACCGTTGCAGCATCCCCATGGTCACGTGATCCAAATTCAGGCCCTTGCCAACCGACTCATATCTATGACCGTTGCAGTGTCCCCCGAGTCACATGATCCTTTTGCTGACGAGCTAAGTCCATGGGGAAGCCAGATTCACTTAACAACCGTGTGACTGACTTAGCAATGGCGGCGATTCACTTAACAGCCGTGGCAAGGAAGGGCGCAAAATGGGGCAAAACTCATTTAACAGGTCTTGCCCAGCGACAGAAATTTTAGCCTCAGTTGCGCTCCTAAGCCTGTAGTTTGATAGGAGCTTCCTTTGCTATGCGGGGCTCGGCTGGATGACCTCAAGGGACCTTGGATGTTGCCAAGGACAAGACCTTGCAAGCTGCCCAAAGTGGACCCCTTGGCAAGCCACAGATCGGGTCGCGGACTCTCCTGATCCCCGTCCCGAAGGTGCTTTTTCCAGAAGGCAACTGGACTTCCTTTTTTTTTTCCTTTGAAGACGTTTCGCTCCTCATCCGAGGAGCTTCTTCGGCTCTGACTGGATAGTGGAAGCTGAAGAAGCTTCTCGGGATGAGGAGCGAAACCTCTTTAAAGGGAAAAACAAAGAAAATCCAGTTGCCTCCTGGAAAAAACCACCTTCGGGACAACCAGGAACTATCTGGAGAAGCTCCACAGACCTTCCGGATTTTACAAGGATAATAGTAATAATAATAACAACAATAACAATAATAATGTTGGAAGGGACCTTGGAGGTCATCTAGTCCAACCCCCTGCTCAGGCAGGAAACAAATGGCTGTCTCACCCTCCCTTTGGGAACGGACCAGCAGAGCCTCCAAAGCCAGGGACAGTGTACCTGAAAGCCCTGGCTCTTCCCTTCCCCGCTCCCCCCTCCCCACCACGAAGCCCCCTTCCCAGCGGCTCAAGCTGCACGCGAACCACCCCAACCCGACGTCGAGGCAGCGGGTGGGCTGCACGCATCGTGGAAACCCACCCGGGGGGGGGTTGCTGCCCTCCCCTGCCAGCAGTCCCCGCTTGCAGCTGGTGCCCGCCAGCCCCCCCGAAGCCCCGGCGCTCACCGTCGTCCTCGAAGTCCCGGCGCGCCGACCCGGTGCCCTCGGGGGTCCCGGCGCCCGTCCAGGAGGGTCCCTGCAGGGCCAGCGCCGCCCAGGGCAGCGCCCACAGCTGCCAGCAGCCCCGCATGACGCCCACCCGGGGATGCCCGCTCCGCTCTGCCCTCCGCCGGACCGGACGGGTGGGCGGGGGGCGGTCTCGGAGGGACAGCCCGCCGGCCCCCCCCCCGGATGCGAGGCCGGGCGGGCGGGCGGGCGGAGCGAAGTCCCGGGGCGGATCGCGGGGGACGGGCGCGGACGGGGGCCTCGAACGGGGACTGGCTCGTGCCCACCTGCCCCACGCCGGGATCCCCCTCCCCATAAGCAGGCACGGGGGGGGGCTCTTTCCCTGAGCGAAGGGAGGGGCGCGGGTCTTTGCAACCTCGCCGCCCCTCCCTCTGCCAGGTAGCCCCCCCTCCCGCCCCATTTGCTTGACGGAGCGCCCCGACACCCCTTTTGGGGGGGGTCTTCCTACGCTCTCTCGGACCCCACTTCGGCCAAAGGGGAGGTCGGGGGCGCGGTTGAACCCCGGAGGGGGAAAGTGGGGGAGGTCCGTTCCCCGCAGCCCCCTGGGGAGGCAGACCCCGCCCTTCCGTCGGCTGCTGCCGCCGCCACCTGTCCTGCAGGTGAAGCCTTCACCTGTCCTCACCTGGCGAGGGAGGCGCGGAGGGTTAGAAGAGGCAGGCGAAAGAAAGGCTTTGGCGCCACCTGCTGGCCGAACCGCGGCAAGGCCCTTGGCGAGGGGGCAGCTGCGTGGCCCAAGGGTCAATTAAAACCAGATGTTTTGCAGAATACCAGAAAATGTTTTAAAAAAATAAAATAAAAAATCTATTCTAGGCAAACACAGGATAGTCTTGGCCCCTCCCTGACGGAGAGGAGCCCCGTTGTAGGTTGCACAAAAATGCACACTTGACGGAGTTGTGTATCGTGCAAAACCTAAGTACAGGTATTGCTCAACTTGAGACCTCATGTAAGGCCAGAATTCCCACAAAGGTCTTCTCCTGGTCTGTGTTGGAGGCAGGACTGAAGGTTCTCCAGATCTTTGGAATCCTCTTCCAGAATTTCAGAGGCATCTTTCGCTGGAAGGAGCCTGGTGAAGCATGAAGGGGGCCAGCTGGTCTGTCTCAACCTAATCTGATTTCCTTGCAATTTTTTTTTTTTTGTCCAAAGGAAGTGGAAATGTCTTTGGGGTTTTAAGTGAAGACCCCCCCTTTCAAAGACCAGCTCTGGGGGGGGGGAGGTTTACGGTTTCATTGGAGCCAAAAGGTCCAGCTAGGGGATTTGTCTCGAGACTAATGTGGCGTCCATGTGACGTCTCTTCCGAGGCAGTTGAAACAGAAGCCACGGAGACGTCCCACAATGCACACAAAACTCCACAATGGGTTAAGGAAACACAATTACGTCTCTGCAACGCAGGCATGGCCCAGCAATGGAGCTGAGTAGCATCCAGCAGGCACGGAATTCCAGGATCAGAATAAGAATAGAGCTGGAAGGGACCTTGGAAGTAGTAATAGTAGTAAAGTAATAGTAATAATAGTAAAGTTGGAAGGGACCTTGGAGGTCATCTAGTCCAATCCCTGCTCAGGCAGGAAACTCTACACCATTTCGGACAAATGGCTGTCCAGTCTCTTCTTAAAAACTTCCAGTGTTGGAGCATTTACTGCTTCTGGAGGCAGGTTGTTCCACTGATGAATTGTCCTCACTGTCAGGAAGTTTCTCCTTAGTTCTAGGTTGCTTCTCTCCTTGATTAGTTTCCACCCTTTGCTTCTTGTCCTGCCTTCAGGTGCGTTGGAGAATAGCTTGATTCCCTCTTCTTTATGGGAGATATTGGAATACTGCTATCATGTCCCCCCTTGTCCTTCTCTTCGTTAAACTAGACATACCCAATTCTAGCAACCGTTCCTTATATGTTTTATCCCCCAGTCCCCTAACATTTCTTTGTTGCTCCTCTCTGCACTCTTTCTAGAGTCTCAACATCTTTTTTACATCGTGGTGACCAAAACTGAATGCAGTATTCCAGGTGTGGCCTTACCAAGGCATTGAAGAGTGGTATTAAACCTTAACGTGATCTGGATTCTATCCCTCTGTAAATGCAGCCCAGCACTGTGTTGGTCTTTTTGGCAGCTGCAGCACACGGCTGGCTCATATTTTTCATATCTTCTAGTCCAACCCCCTGCTCAGGCAGGAGACCCTATACCATTTCAGACAAATGGCTGACCAGTCTCTTCTTAAAAATCCTCCAGTGATGGAGCACTCACATCTTCTGAAGGCAATTCGTTCCACTGATTAATTGTCTTCACTGTCAGGAAGTTTCTCCTTAATTCCAGATTGCTTCTCTCCTTAATTAGTTTCCATCCATTATTTCTTGTCTTGCCTTCTGGTGCTTTGGGGAATAGCCTGACTCCCTCTTCTTTATGGCAGCCCCTGAGATGTTGGAAGACTGCCATCCAGTGGTGGGATTCAAATAGGTGAGCAACCGGTTCTCTGTGTGGATGCCGCTTCCAGAAAACCATTCTGGGCCTGGGCAACCAAAAATTAGCTGCTGAACTGGTGTGAACTGGCTGACTCCCACCACTGCTGCTATCCTGTCACCCCAAGTTCTTCTTTTTCCTAGACTAGCCATCTCTCGTTCCTGCACCCCTCCTTCATATATTTTTTGTCTCCAGGTCCTTGATCGTCTGAGTTGCTCTTCTTTGCGCTCTTTCCAAAGTCTCAACGTCTTTTTTTTGGAATGTGGTGACCAAAACTGGATGCAGGATTCCAGGTGCGGCCTTACTAAGGCTTTGTAAAGCGGTACTAACTCATCTAATCCTCTTTATCAAAAGTCACCAGGTGTAGAGATGAGAGATAGGCGAAAGTCGTGTGTGGAAAACTGCGCCCCCCAACGCTTGTGCCTTTGTTCTGCATCTATCTTCTCCCTCCCCCCTCACATCACCATGGTGACGTGACAGTACCAGGTCTGTGTGACCTTGCCAGTTTGATAAGGCTAGCCGGTGAACAACAAGTTTCCCTGTTTATGGCCTCTAGTTTTTTACTCTTGAGGATTGGTAAAGGATTTTAGCCAATGAAATGCTGTTACCATGCTGTATCTTTTGCTATTTGCAAACCTCTATTTAAACAATAAAGGCTGCGTAGTAAGTGGCCATTTCTTTGCACCCTTCAATGACTAAGGAGTGATTACTACAACCAGGAAATTTCTCTGGAGGCCTTATTAAATCAGCTTAACCAACTCTGAATCCACCCCTGACTTGTTTTTGTTCAGGAACATGGGAACATGTTGATATTATTATTATTATCTTTTATTCATTAGACATGAACCTCAGTCAACTGAACATTCAAATTGGCTGGCACTGATGGTTGACACGGGTTGCTACCAGCATCCTAGGTATCAACCAGACATCTCCTTAAAATATAAGATATAAATATAAAATATAAATTATTATTGTTATTGTTATTATATTATTGTTGTTGTTGTTGTTGTTATTAATCATCGCAGTCAGCCAGATGCTCAGACGTTCAGATTTGGCGTTTTTGTCTATTTATCGAGTCCTTTCCAAGGACCTGGGATAAACAGATGTGGAAGTTTGATGGTATTACAGGTATCGTCGCAGGATGGAAGCAGTTCCTAGTAAGGCCGCCTTTTGCAATTGACTGATGGCGAATTTGTCAATGCCGATGATGGTGTTCAAGTGGTGCTCCAGTTGTTTTGGGATTGCACCCAAGGCGCCTATGACTATTGGTACTACCCTTGCTTGCTTTTGCCACAGTCTTTCTATTTCTATTTGTTATTATTATTATTATTATTATTATTAATTATTATTATTGTGTGCTGGTATTTTTCTTGGAACTACATAGCAAATATTATGGAGCAGGCTGTTGGCAAAAAGGAGAAGAAAAAAGAAAAATGTTCAGACTGCAAGTCTGAAGTTGCAATGAAACACACGACACAGTCCACGACTTACGAGCACAACCAAGCCCAAAATTCAACATGGCAAAAAGATCGTAAAAACAGGATGCGCCTCACTTAACCACCGACTTGCTTAGCAACAGACTGTGGTCATTAAGTTGAGGACTTGGGGGGATTTTCCGTGCTCGGATGGTCCTTCGGCCTCTCCCAATTTCAGATCCTTGAGTGCCTCTTTCTAATGGGAAAGAGATTTCCTGGTGCCGCCAATAAATTCTCAAATCTCTCCTCTTCACAGTTCAGGACGCTTCCTGTTGACTGGAGTCATAAATACCCCCCAGCAGCTGCTTTTGCAGCATTTTAGGAAAGAAAAGAAAAAAGCAGAATAAAGAAAAACATCAGAAAAGAGACAGGTGAGCGATTCCCACCTTTAACCTGCTTGCATTCCGGAACTCGTGGCAGCAAAACTATCTCTTTTGAAGAGCGAAAGGTGAAAAAAAAAACTCGCAAAAACTCAAATTCAGGTAGTCCTCGATTTACGACTGACTAGCATTTCTTTCGTTAAGCGAGCTGGCTGTTCGGTGAGCCTCATGCCTGATTTTTATGACTTTTTTGGGGGAGGTCACGATTAAGCAAACCGTCTCGGTCCTTAAGGGAATCACTGCTGTCCTTAAGCGAATTCGGCTTTCCCCCCCATTTGACTTTGCTTGTTGGGAAGCCGGAGGGGGGAGGACACAAGTGGCGATCACGCGACTTTGGGGACGCTGCAACCGGTTGTTAAGTGTGAGGTCTGGTTGTGAGTGACGTCATTCAATGCCGCTGTCACTTGGAATGGCCACTAAGCAAACAGTTGTAAATTGAGGACTCTCTGCGTGTTCCAATTAGGCACAGGCGTGCAATCCTCGACTTTCTGGGCTGCTGATCCGTTTTTCCTGGCTTAACACAACGCGCATTCCCACACAAGAAGCACACTCTCCATCTTGATCGTTCTCCCTTGCACCACCACTTCTCAGGGGTGTGCAAAACGGCCCCCGATCCGGCTTTAAACTCCGGTTCAAAACCGTTTTTTGGCGTCTCTCTGTCTCCCTCGAGGCACTGGTTTTGTTGTCGAATTGCCCCCCCCCCCCACAACGTGGGGCAACCCACAACTTGGCTTTGTTGAAGTGTTGGTGAGTTTCCTCAGCTGCTATTCTTATCTGATTTTTTGTTGTTGTTGTTTTGGAACTCTGCTCACTTTGTACTTTTTAAAATTCTTCTTTTTGTGGGGAGCTGTCTGGAGTCACGTATAGGAGATGGGTGGTCTATATGTTTACGAAATAAATGTAAACTTGATGGTCCGCTTGATTAGTAAAAGAGAGTTTTGCCTTTATATACAGGCAGTCCTCGACTTGCGACCACAAGAGAGCCTAGAATTTACATTGCTAAGTGAGAAATTTCTTAAGTGAGTTTTGCCCCTGTTTTACGATATTTCTTGCTACAGTTGTTTAAGTTCCAGAACTCTCTGTTAACAAGCTGTTATTGTGATCCACTCTTGGAAAAATTATTATGGATTTGGCATTTTTGTTCTACCTACTGAGTCCTTCCAAGGACCTGGGATAGGCAGATATTATTATTATTATTTTGGATCATCGCACAGTCAGCCAGATGTTTAGACTGGATTTGGCATTTTGTCTACCTATCGAGTCCTTACCCAGGACCTGGGATAGGCAGATGTGGATGTTTGATGATATTACAGGTATCGTCGCAGGATGGAAGCAGTTCCTAGTAAGGCCGCCTTTTGCAATTGACTAATAGCGAATTTGTCAATGCCAATGGTGTTCAAGTGGTGCTCCAGTTGTTTTGGGCTTGCACCCAAGTTGCCTATGATATTGTTACCACCCTTGCTTGCCTTTGCCACAGTCTTTCTATTTCTATTTGTAGGTCTTTGTATTTTGCGATCTTCTCCAGTTTTTTCTCATCTATTCTGCTGTCTCCAGGCATTGCCACGTCCACCATCCAGACTTTTTTTGTCTTTCTTATCGACAATTGTTAAATACAGGGTGTTATATTGCAGGTGCTTGTCTGTTTGAATTCTGAAGTCCCAGAGCAGTTTAATTTTATCATTTTCTATGACTTTCTCTATTTTATGATCCCACCAGTTTTTGCTTACAGGCAAATGATATTTTTTGCAGATCTTCCAATGCACCATTGTTGCTACTTTGTCATGCCGCTGCTTGTAGTCAGTCTGTGCAATCTTCTTGCAACAGCTTACCAAGTGGCCCACTGTTTCTTCAGCTTCTTTGCATAGGCAGTACTTACTGTCTGTTGCTGTCTTCTCAATTTTGATTTATTATTACTATTACTATTATTATTTATTAAAATGAAATAAAAGTTTTTGAAGTTAGAACAGCCCTGAAAAGGGGACTTAAGACCTGACCTTGCAGATCACGGTGTTCCCCACAATCATGTGATCAAAATTTGGATGTTTGGCAACTGGCATGTACTTATGACAGTTGCAGCATCACCATTTGCAACCTTCCTGGCCATATTTGGAGAAGCAAACTCCCTGACGGAAGCCGGATTCACTTAATGCCCATGTGTTTCACTTAACAGCTGCAGTGATTTGTGTAACACCATGGCCAAAAAAAGATTGCAAACTCGGGCGTGGCTCACTTAACCGTTGCTTTGCTTAGCAATGGAAATCCTGGCCCCAGTTGTTGCCATAAATTGAGGACCACCTGTAGGCTCCGGGAAATGTTGTTGTGGACACAGGATTCAGACAAGAAAGAATGGTTGGAAACTCACCAAGGAGAGAAGCAACCTGGAATTAAGGAGCAGCTTCCTAACAGTGAGGACAATTAACCAGTGGAACAGCTTGCCACCAGAAGTTGTGGGAGCTCCGTCACTGGAGGTTTTTAAGAAGAGGCTGGACAGTCACTTGTCTGAGATGGTAAAGGGTCTCCTGCTTGAGCAGGGGGCTGGACTAGAAGACCTCCAAGGTCCCGTCCAGCTCTATTCTGATTCTGATTCATGGTTCCCTCCAGTTTATGTGAGGACTGATGTAGGCCTAGATAATGACGTGCTTCAATTTGTGCACTTTTAATTTCTTTTTGTTGTTTCTCCAACCAGATGCGGACCACCCTTCTCGTCTGCATCGGCCTTTTGCTTCCCATCTATCTGTTGCACAGATGTGAGTTCCTGCTAGGAGCTTTGGTGCTGCCCAGGTTGAGCGGGGTGTGTGTGTGTCTGTGTGTGGACTAGAAGACCTCCAAGGTCCCTTTCCAATTCTGTCATTTTGTCATTAATTCATTCATTGTTCACATTTCTGAACCGCCCCTCCTCCCTCAGAGAAGGATGTTAGAAGGTGTACAAGATGAAGATTCCCTGTGTTTACACGCTGGCTGTTGAAATGTGGCCTCTAGTCCAGGTTCCCTTCCTTCTGCGACAGGTGATGCTGAAACGGAAATCTGCCCGCCGGGATGGATGACCTCCAGGGGAGCATGCTATTCAATCTTCTGCGAGAAGCGGACGTGGGCAGAGGCAGAGGTAAGGTGGTCCCCTCCAGGTTCACACTCCGAACTATGAACTGCCAACCACATGTGGCAATGAGCCCAGCTGGCATTCCCCCATTTACATCGTTGTCAGAATATCAGAGAGGTCCTCGGTGCTCACTGGGCGTGACGGTTTCCCTGCAGACGTTTCCATGACCCAACTAGGGGACATCATCAGTGCTAGAAGAGAGAGGTTGGTGGAGTGGAGGAGGAGGAGGAGGAGGAGGAGGAGGAGGAGGAGGAGGAAGAAGAAGAGGAAAAGGAGGAGGGCTGTGGGGATGCTCTTTGAGCTTGGTTGTTTTCTTGTAGATATTTCATGACCCAACTAGGGGACATCACCAGTGCTAGAAGAGAGTGGTTGGTGGAGTGGAGGAGGAGGAGGAGGAGGAGGAGGAGGAGAGGAGGAGGAGGAGGAGGAGGAGGAGGAAGAGGAAAAGGAGGAGGGCTGTGGGGATGCTCTTTGAGCTTGGTTGTTTTCTTGTAGATATTTCATGACCCAACTAGGGGACATCACCAGTGCTAGAAGAGAGTTGGTGGAGTGAAGGAGGAGGAGGAGGAGGAGGAGGAGGAGGAGAGGAGGGAGGAGGAAGAGGGCTGTGGGGATGCTCTTTGAGCTTGGTTGTTTTCTTGTAGATATTTCATGACCCAACTAGGGGACATCATCAGTGCTAAGAGAGAGTGGTTGGTGGAGTGGAGGAGGAGGAGGAGGAGGAGGAGGAGGAGGAGGAGGAGGAGGAGGAGGAGGAGGAGGAGGAGGAGGAGGAGGAGGAGGAGGAGGAAGAAGAGGAGGGCTGTGGGGATGCTCTTTGAGCTTGGTTGTTTTTTTGTAGATATTTCATGACCCAACTAGGGAACATCATCAGTGCTAGAAGAGAGTGGTTGGTGGAGTGGAGGAGGAGGAGGAGGAGGAGGAGGAGGAGGAGGAGGAGGAGGAGGAAGAGGAGGAGGAGGAGGAAGAGGAAAAGGAGGAGGGCTGTGGGGATGCTCTTTGAGCTTGGTTTTTTTCTTGTAGATATTTCATGACCCAACTAGGGGACATCACCAGTGCTAGAAGAGAGTGGTTGGTGGAGTGGAGGAGGAGGAGGAGGAGGAGGAAGAAGAAGAAGAGGAGGGCTGTGGGGATGCTCTTTGAGCTTGGTTGTTTTCTTGTAGATATGTCATGACCCAACTAGGGAACATCATCAGTGCTAGAAGAGAGAGGTTGGTGGAGTGGAGGAGGAGGAGGAGGAGAACGATGATGACAAGGAGGAGGGTATCTGTGGGGTCCTTGATGTTCTCTGAGCTGGGCTGTTTTCTTGCAGACGTTGCATGACCCAGCTAGGGAACATCATCAGTGCTAGCAAGAAGACAAGCTAGGTGAGAGAGCACCGAGGACCTCACGTTGAAATCTCATTTCTGCTGCCAGGCACTCAAACAACACATGCAATACATGCATTTCCCGGAGGAATTGGCTGGGTGGGAATAGATTCCGTAAAGCTCTTCTGCTCTGCTCTTCTCTTTTCTCACGGGATCCCAGCAAGGTAGGAGCCCGCCTTGTCTGGAGCGACTTGAGTAAAAGAGCCCGTTCTGATTCCCCTTACTTAGAAAGACTGCCGTAAGCACGGTACGCGTGCCCACCTGGCCTCCATTCTTGATGAAAAGGAAACAACAGCCGTGTCCGACTACATTGTTTCATTGCTAATTAAGAACTTGGGACCCGTTTGGATCGGAATGTTTTACAAGGGAAAGGTAAATATCCTTTTCGTTTTATTTTAGAATGTCTCTCTCTATCCACATCGCTTTTTAATCAAGTGCGGGGGGAGCGGGGGGGGAGGTTTGAGAAAGAGCATGCCAAATGTGATTAGGTCTAATCCCGGCTTATTTTCTGCCATGTTACCCAGCCTAGGTCATGAGAATGTGGGTGAATTCAGGAATCAGATTAAGCATTTGGTGTGGACCCAGAGTAAAACATGAGTGTTGTTCATGTGGTCCCACCGGAGGTCGAAGAAATACATGGAGGGCTCTTCAGCCCTTTCTGAGTTTCGTTTTGACAAGTCAGGAATAAGTTTGCTGGTGAGAATGTTGGTTCATATACATATACAGTGGGGTAGGATGTATACCTCCCCGGCTACAGCCCAGGCTTCTTCTAGAGATAGTAGATATGAGGAAGGAAGGAAGGAAGGAAGGAAGGAAGGAAGGAAGGAAGGAAGGAAGGAAGGAAGGAAGGAAGGAAGGAAGGAAGGAAGGAAGAGGGAGGGATGAACAAAAAGAAAAAAAATAAGAGAGGGAGGAAGGAAGAAGAAAGAAGGGAGAAAACAAGCAAGCAAGAAAGGAGAGCAAGGAAGAAAGGAAAAGAATGAGAGGAAGGGAGGAAGGAATGAGAAAGAAGAAAGGAAGGAACAAAGGAAAAAAGAAAGAGAAAAGAAGGAAAGAGAGCAAGGAAGGAAGGAAAAAAGAAAGGAAGGATGATCGAGGGAGGAAGGAAAAGAAAGAATAAGAATGAGGGAGGAAGGGAGGAAGGACAGAAGGACAGAAGGGAGGGAGAGAGGAAGGAAAATAGTGAATGAAGGAAGGGAAGAAGAAAGGAAAGTGAAGGAAGAATGGAGAAAGAAGGAAGGGAGAAAAAGAAAAAGAAAGAAAAGAAAGGAGAAAGGAAAAAGAATAAGAGTGAGGGAGGAAGGAAGGAAGGAAGGAAGGAAGGAAGGAAGGAAGGAAGGAAGGAAGGAAAAAAGGGAGGGAGGAGAATAGTAGAGAGAGGAAGGAAGGAAGGAAGGAAAGAAGGAAGGAAGGAAGGAAGGAAGGAAGAAACGGAGGAGAGAAAGGAAGGAAGGAAACAAACCATATTATGGAAGTTTCCCCATCCAGGAAAATCTCCCAAACTTTTCATCCAGAGCAGCAAACTGACCACTGATGGTGGGTCAGGAGATCTACATTCTAGAAGACCCAACGTGAGGAATCCAGTTTAGCAAGACCCGTGAAAACCTGCAAAGGCCCAGCAAAATGGCGGAGCCTTCTGGATGTCTGGAGGACCATTGCTGTCGCTTGGGGGGGGGGAGCCGAACGACCCCTCAACAGCCGTACTTGAGGAGAGATTGCCTCAGTCCACCATTTTTTCATTCCCCCCGAATCATCAAACAATCTGATTTCGGGCGGGCGAGCAGGCGGAGGGCCTCCCCTTCGATAAAAGAGACCTTCTTCTTTTCCAGAACTGGCCCCAGGAAGATTGGTGGTGGATAGACGCCTACAAAGTTGTTTACCACAACTGGGCCCAAGCGTTACCTGAAGTGTCGGAAAACAAGAAGTACTGCATCTACTTAATGGGAAACGGTGAGGCATCTCCTCTAAGGATGGCAGCCCAGCCAGTTCAGGAAGTCCTTGGCTTTCGATCACAGCTGAGCCCAAAATTTCCGTTGCTAAGCAAGACAGCGGTTCAGCGAGTTTGGCCCCATTTTACGACTTTTCCGGCCACGGTTGTTAAGCGAGTCACTGCAGTTAAGTTAGTCGCACGGTTGTTAAGTGAATCTGGCTTCCCCCATTGACTTTGCTTTTCCTTCCTTCCTTCCTTCCTTCCTTCCTTCCTTCCTTCCTTCCTTCCTTCCTCCCTCCCTCCCTCCCTTACTTCCTTTTTTCTCCTTCATTCCTTCCTCCCTCACTCTTATTCTTTCTTTTCCTTTCTCTTATCTCTTTTCTTTCTTTTTCTCGCTTCCTTCTTTCTCCATTCTTCCTTCCCTTCCCTTTCTATTCTATTCTATATTCCATATTCCATATTCCATATTCCATATTCTATTCTATTCTATTCTATTCTATTCTATTCTATTCTATTCTATTCTATTCTATTCTATTCTATTCTATTCTATCCTATCCTATCCTATCCTATCCTATCCTATTCCATTCCATTCCATTCTATTTGTTAAGTCCCCTTCCTAATTCTCTTAATTTGACTTCTGGCATTTAAGACTTCTCCAGATCAGGAGTCAGATAAAGAGCCAATCTTAGTAGGCCAATTTATCTAAGTTGAAGAGGTCAAAAAATTCCCCTTCCGCCAATCGGTCCAAAAGCAACTTTCCGGTAGCAGTCTAGTCTCATTGGGATGAATGCAGGAAGGTATAGCTGTAGGCAGGAGGGGAAATTCTCAAGGTGTGACTGAGGACCCTCAAAAGCTGAACTTGGGGTGCGAAGGCTGAACTAGAGAATCAAAGTCTATGAGACCCTCTTTCTGTGCCTTTCAGAATATAAATACTGGAAAGACACGGACTGCAAACAAAGATTCGGTTACATTTGCAAGTATGAGCTCAAGTATCAACGGCGTTGATCCATCTTGGCGTTCCTCCGATCATGTAGGTTTCAGAAGCATCGATCAAGACGGAGTGGGACAGCTCGCCACGGCCAACGTGCTGTGGACAATTCAACAATTCGGTTCAATTATTTAAATAATAATACTAGTAATAAATATTTCAATTTTTATCATTCATTTTTCATTTGGTTCCTCCTTTGGCATCTTCTTTAATGATTCTGTTCCACTATTTCTTCAATATGAGTGTAACTCTAGAGAATCCTTTCCTCAAATAAAGGAACAGACACCAGATGTACGTCCCTAACCGATGGGATCCACAACAGGCCCTGCCTTCTCATCCTGATGGGCCGGGTGGATGAAATAGGGGAGAGGTGGTCCTTCAAACAGCCTGATCCCAAGCCATGGGTTCCCAGAAGTCTGTATTTGCCAAAGAGCTAACTATCCCCGTTTCCCTTAGGTTAGATCCAGGACTCTCTCCAAGCATGGAATCGGCAGAATTCTTCAACCAGACCATGAGCCCATCCTGGTCTTCAGTGCACGTAGAAATCTCCTCCTCCTCCTTTCTGCAAACTCCACTCCCTTCCAGCACTGATGATGTTCCCTAGTTGGGTCATGAAATGTCTGCAAGGAACCAACCAAGCTCTGAGAGCACGAAGTCCATAAGTATCCAGCATTTAACATATTCTTGGTGTTCCTCTATTGACATTGGTCTTCGGCTGAGATAACAACTGAAGTCAGATTGAAGTCTCTCTCTTCTCTTCTCTTCTCTTCTCTTCTCTTCTCTTCTCTTCTCTTCTCTTCTTCTTCTTCTTCTTCTTCTTCTTCTTCTTCTTCTTCTTCTTCTTCTTCTTCTTCTTCTTCTTCTTCTTCTTCTTCTTCTTCTTCTTCTTCTTCTTCTTCCTTCTCTCTCTCTCTCTTCAGATCCCTGAAATGTCAGCCAGCTGGTGATCGGCCCAACTTCACCCAGCTGACTTTCAGGCCTAAGATGGGACTAGAAATCCCTGACTCCTGGTGATTGGTCCAACGCCACCCAGCTAACTTTTATGGCTAAGATGGGACTAAAACTCACCATCTCCTGGTGATCGGCCCAACTTCACCCAGCTGCCTTTCAGGCCTAAGATGGGACTAGAACTCACCATCTCCTGGTGATCGGTCCAAAGTCACCCAGGCAGCTTTCATGCCTAAGATGGGACTAGAACTCACTGTCGCCTGGTTTTCTAGTCTGGTACATTAAGCACTGGACCAAACTGGATCTAGATGGGCTGCCTATATATTTAACAATTAAATAAAAAGAAAAGAAATGATAAAACGCTTATTTCATTTCTTCCCACTGGACTAGCAGCTTATGAGTTGCTTTGGGAAAAGAAATTGCCCAGAAACTCACTGGCCAAAGATTAAACGAGTCCATGTAGCTTGGGTTGAAATGTTGTGTGTGAAACCTTCTCTTCAAGAAGATTTTTCAAGAACGTGTCCTTCAAAAGCTGGCAAGGACAACGGCGCCGACTATCTGTTCCACCCACCACGTCTAGCAATTCCTTACTTATTAGTTTCTCAGAAAGGACACCGTTCGCCCCCAACCCAGGGGTAATTTTAGCTGAACGTAATTTCTGAGATGCCAACTAGTTTTTGTAACTTGTAATAGGGCACGTTCCTCTCTGATCAGCCAGGTTATTATAGAAGTTCCCGTGGGGTGAGCAGAGGAAGAAGAGAGGTGGTGTCACTTCAGGGGAGTCAACCAGAGATCATCTAGCAAAGGAACAAGTGAGTGGTTCTCAAACCTTGGTCTTGGGGGGGGGGCAAATTCTCTTCCCCTGTTCTCATCCGCTACAACGCCCCAGCATCACTTTCACATCGTTGGAGATAGTGTAGCTCACGGAGCCACCGGACTCGGCTGGAACACGTGGAGCTTCAACTGAAGCAGTCCAGACCTCGGAAGGTAGGTAGCACGCTGGGTCTGACATTCGGCCTCCCTCACCACAAGGCCCCCTGAAGTAAAGAATAGGAGATTGATTAGATCTGCTCTTGTATACATATAATAAACTTACGAGCCACGCCCTGGTTTGTGTGGTAGTGTCTTGTGATACCTACGGATCAGATCAGGGGCGGATATATCTCTTTCCTCAATCCAAGAGGCTTCGGACAAACGGTATCCTTTCCACAATATCAGATAATAAAGTCTACCCCCCCTTATTCGTGAATCAAGTATGTCTTGTATTTCATACCACCCTGGCGTGACAGGGGTTTCACATGGAGTGGCCCTCCTACGGGCTTCAGCAAACTTATATGGAAGACCGGATGTATCTTACCAAGTAGCTTCGGTAATTGAAGCTTCACCGTCACAGGATTGAGGATCTGGAGTATGCGGAATGGTCCGATGTATTTCGGTGCTAATTTTCTGCAAGGCACCTGTAACTTAATATACTTACTTGACAGATACACTAGGTCACCTACCTGTAATTGAATCGGTACTCTACGACCTTTATCTGCCTGGTATTTTACCGACTGTGCTGTCCGCTCCAGAGCATGTTGTACAGTACTCCATACCTTACGCACTTGGGACAACCACTCATCTGGTTGACCGACCTGAGCTTCCTGGGTCTTACATTCCGGTAGTGGAGCAATGTCATGTCCATAGACCACTTGGAATGGGGTTAGGCCAGTACTTTTGTGTACCGCATTATTATATGCAATTTCTGCAAATGGTACAAAATCTACCCAATTGGACTGTTGGTACGACACGTAACATCGTAGGTATCGCTCTATAGCTGCGTTGGCCCGCTCTGCTGCCCCATTGGTACAAGGGTGATATGCAGAACTAAGCCCTTGTGTAGTACCAATGAGTTTTAGAAATCGCCGCCAGAAATGAGCTGTAAATTGGACACCCCGGTCTGAAATAATCCGGCGAGGTGCTCCATGCAATCGGTAAACCTGTTGCACGAACATTTTGGCTAATTTCCTCGCCGATGGCAGTCCCTTACATGGTATAAAATGGACTTGCTTTGAAAATAGATCGACTACTGTCCATATAACAGTATATCCTTTTACATTTGGCAAGTCGACAATAAAGTCCATCCCAACGTCCTGCCATGGTCGAGTTGGATTGGACACTGATTGGAGTAGACCCATTGGTTTTGCAGGAATTGCCTTAGCTTGTGCGCAAATGTGACATCCTTTCACATACTTTTCGATGTCCTTCCTCAAACTCGGCCACCAAAACTGACGTCTCGCTAAATGTAATGTTTTCAAAAACCCGAAATGGCCTGCTAGTTTGGAATCATGGCATCGATGATACACCCGATCACGTAGTTCCTGGGGAACGTATAACCTATTGCCATACCAGGCCAAACCATTTCGGTCGGACAGCAATACGGGGTTAGCCAGGAACCAAGAGTCTTTCAACAGAGCTGACTTTACATCATCCTTGAATTTTGTCATCTTCGCGCAGGCATCTGTCCGTATAGATTCAACATTGCAAGGAGGTATAATAGCCTGGATCACCTCTTCTCTCTTGCTGTCGTATTGCGGTAGACGGGATAGTGCTTCCGCTAAGAAGTTTTCTCTCCCGGGACAACTTTAAGATGGAACCTAAATCGTTGGAAATATTGCGCCCAACGAACATGCTTGGGTGCTAATCTTCTTGGATTTTGGAGAACCGTTAAATTCTGATGGTCTGTCCACACCTCGAAGGGATGCTGTGCGCCCTCCAACAAATGGCGCCATGTGGACAGGGCCCATTTCACTGCAAACGCTTCCTTTTCCCACACCGCCCAGCGTCTTTCGGTATCGGTGAATTTCTTTGAAGTATAAGCGCAAGGTTGTAGAGTGCCTTGGTCATTACGTTGCAATAAGACCGCTCCAACCGCCACGTCGCTTGCATCGGCCTGTACAACAAACGGCCATCCCGGATCAGGATGTACTAATACAGGTTTTTGAGCGAATAATGTCTTTAAGGACTCGAATGCCCGTTGACAGGCCACAGTCCAGTCCAAAGATTGTCCCGGGCAGGGTTTCCTATGGTATTCTTGGTACGCAATAGTTGGATCAACGGCAGTGCCACATCAGCAAAAGAGGGAATAAATTGCCGGTAGAAATTAGCAAACCCCAAGAACCGTTGTAACTGGCGCCGGGTCCTCTCTACGCTTCACGGAGATCTAACTTTGTGAAGATTTTCCCAGCAGCTAGATGGGTAAGGAGATCTTTCATCAGTGGTAGGGGATATGTTTGTTCTATACATACAGCGTTAAGGCCCTGAAAGTCCACACATAACCTTAATCCACCATCCTTTTTCCCTTGGAATAAGACCGGTGCCGCTATCCGGGACCGTGCCGGTTCGATAAAACCCCTGTTCAGATTTTTATCTATATATTTCCTCATTTCCTGTAGCTCCAAGAATGTCATCGGATACATCCTGGGTTTCGGCAACTTCGCACCAGGAACGATCTCGATCGCGCAATCCGTTGACCGATGGGATGGTAAGCTATCACATTCTTGCTCGCTAAAGACTGCTGCGAGATCATTATACACCGCCGGATATCCGGGATCACTCCCAGCTTGCACCGATTTCGAATCTCCGCTCACCTTATCCTCACTATTCTCAGACGGGCAGGGTAGCTGGGGACCCACTGCAAGTCTTATATGACGGGACCCATCCGCCCACCACATGTTCGGGGTCCATTTATCCAACCATGCTAAACCGAGGATAATAGATTCGGACATAGAGGGCACTACTATAAATCGTATTACCTCCCAATGGGCACCTATCTCCATCCTTACAGGCTCCGTCACCAAGATGGTCGGGGTTCCCCCCAAGAGGGACCCATCTACCTGTTCAAAGCGAATTGGGGCCTTTAACCGGGTCACCCTCATACGCATCTGCCGTGCCACCTCTCTGCTAATTAGGCACCTAGTGCACCCGATGTCAATCAATGCCTGAAATGACCCGGACTCCCCAGTAACCGGACTTGTTAATGTTATGGGTATGGTGAACGGAACTATGGGGTAACTCACCATCGGATCCTCCACCGGGCCTTCTTCTTCATATTCCTCCAATGCCGGAGGGGCATCGCCTGGAGCTTGTTGGCCAGATAGTTGTCCTAATTGATGGGCAGCCCGTGAGTTCTCCGTCATCTTTTTTGGTGTACTACCGGGTCTGCCAACGGCGGTTGGTGTTTTAATCGACTCGGGAAATGTGCACTCCGCCGCCCGGTGACCCGGCCGATTACAACGGAAACACCGGAACACGGGTTTAGGACGCACATTGCTGATTGGCATCTGATTGGTACTGTCCTTGGGTTGATCCTGGCTCCGACGGAGCTGCGGCCGTTCTTCTCGTGTTCCGGACAAGTCCCTGAGCCCAACATCTAACTCCATCGCTGCCTTGAACCATTCAGAAAGGCGGCCTACAATCCCTCTAACCACACATGCCCGGTGTAAGTCAGTATCTAGTCCCGTGCGAAAATAATGGACCAATAGACGATCTGGCCACGATCGAAGTCTCCCTGCAACTTTTTTTAATTCCCGTATGTATTCTTGCACTGGTCTGCCCCTCTGTCGCAGGCCAACCAGTTGTGCCTCAACCCGTTGTAATCGGGTCGGATCCTCAAATCTGGTTTTCAAGGCGTCTAAGAATAAACCTATATCCGCCAATTCTCTTGTCCTGCCTTCAGGTGCTTTGGAAAATAAGTTGCCCCCCCCTTCTTTGTGGCAGCCCCTCAAATATTGGAAGACTGCCATCCAGTGGTGGGATTCAAATCTGTGAGCAACTGGTTCTCTGTGTGGATGCTGCTTCTGGAAAACCATTCTGGGCCTGGGCAACCAAAAATTAGCTGCTGAACTGATGTGAACTGGCAGACTCCCACCACTGCTGCTATCCTGTCACCCCAAGTTCTTCTTTTTCCTAGACTAGCCATCCCTCATTCCTGCACCCCTCCTTCATATATATTTTGTCTCCAGGTCCTTGATCGTCTGAGTTGCTCTTCTTTGCGCTCTTTCCAAAGTCTCAATGTCTTTTTTTTGGAATGTGGTGACCAAAACTGGATGCAGGATTCCAGGTGCGGCCTTACTAAGGCTTTGTAAAGCGGTACTAACTCATCTAATCCTCTTTATCAAAAGTCACCAGGTGGTGAGATGAGAGATAGGCGAAAGTCGTGTGTGGAAAACTGCGCCCCCCCAACGCTTGTGCCTTTGTTCTGCATCTATCTTCTCCCTCCCCCCTCACATCACCATGGTGACGTGACAGTACGCAGGTCTGTGTGACCTTGCCAGTTTGATAAGGCTAGCCGGTGAACAACAAGTTTCCCTGTTTATGGCCTCTAGCTTTTTACTCTTGAGGATTGGTAAAGGATTTTAGCCAATGAAATGCTGTTACCATGCTGTATCTTTTGCTATTTGCAAACCTCTATTTAAACAATAAAGGCTGCGTAGTAAGCGGCCATTTCTTTGCACCCTTCAATGACTAAGGAGTGATTACTACAACCAGGAAATTTCTCTGTGTTCTGGAGGCCTTATTAAATCAGCTTAACTAACTCTGAATCCACCCCTGACTTGTTTTTGTTCAGGAACATGGGAACATGTTGATATTATTATTATTATCTTTTATTCATTAGACATGAACCTCAGTCAACTGAACATTCAAATTGGCTGGCGCTGATGGTTGACACGGGTTGCTACCAGCATCCTAGGTATCAACCAGACACCTCCTTAAAATATAAGATATAAATATAAAATATAAATTATTATTGTTATTGTTGTTATTATATTATTATTATTATTATTATTATTGTTGTTGTTGTTGTTATTAATCATCGCAGTCAGCCAGATGTTCAGATGTTCAGATTTGGCGTTTTTGTCTATTTATCGAGTCCTTTCCAAGGACCCGGGATAGGCAGATGTGGATGTTTGAACTGATGGTATTACAGATCTCGTTGCAGGATGGAAGCTGTTCCTAGTAAGGCCGCCTTTTGCAATTGACTAATGGCGAATTTGTCAATGCCGATGATGGTGTCCAAATGGTGCTCCAGTTGTTTTGGGATTGCACCTAAGGCACTTATTATTATTGTTGTTGTTGTTACTACTATTACTATTGTTGTTACTACTATTATTACTATTACTATTATCATTACCATTATCATCATCATTGTTATTGATCATCGCACAGCCAGATGTTCAGACTGGATTTGGCATTTTTGTCTACCTATCCTTACCAAGGACCTGGGATAGGTAGATGTGGATGTTTGATGGTATTACAGATATCGTCGCAGGATGGAAGCAGTTCCTAGTAAGGCCGCCTTTTGCAATTGACTAATGGCAAATTTGTCAATGCCAATGGTGTTCAAGTGGTGCTCCAGTTGTTTTGGGATGATGATAATGATTATTATTATTATGGATCATCGCACAGTCAGCCAGATGTTCAGACTGGATTTGGCATTTTGTCTACCTATCGAGTCCTTATCCAGGACCTGGGATAGGCACATGTGGATGTTTGATGGTATTACAGGTATCGTCGCAGGATGGAAGCAGTTCCTAGTAAGACCGCCTTTTGCAATTGACTAATAGCGAATTTGTCAATGCCAATGGTGTTCAAGTGGTGCTCCAGTTGTGTTGGGATTGCACCCAAGGCGCCTATTACTATTGGTACTACCCTTGCTTGCTTTTGCCACAGTCTTTCTATTTCTGTTATTATTATTATTATTTATTATTGTGTGCTGGTATTTTTCTTGGAATTACATAGCAAATATTATGGAGCAGGCTGTTGGCAAAAAGGAAAAAAAAAAAGAAAAATGTTCAGACTGCAAGTCTGAAGTTGCAATGAAACACACAACACAATCCACGACTTACGAGCACAACCAAGCCCAAAATTCAACATGGCAAAAAGATCGTAAAAACAGGATGCACCTCACTTAACCACTGCCTTGCTTAGCAACAGACTGTGGTCGTTAAGTTGAGGACTTGGGTTTTCCAGAAGGGGGGATTTTCTGCGCTCGGATGGTCCTTCAGCCTCTCCCGGTTTCAGATCCTTTGCTTGAGTGCCTCTTTCTAATGGGAAAGAGATTTCCTGGTGCCGCCAATAAATTCTCAAATCTCTCCTCTTCACAGTTCAGGATGCTTCCTGTTGACTGGGGTTATAAGTACCCCTCAGCAGCTGCTTTTGCAGCATTTTAGGGGGAAAAAAGAAAAGAAAAAAGCAGAATAAAGAAAAACATCAGAAAAGAGACAGGTGAGCGATTCCCACCGTTAACCTGCTTGCATTCCAGAATTCGTGGCAGCAAAACTGTCTCTTTTGAAGAGCGAAAGATGGAAAAAAAACTGGCAAAACCTCGCATTCAGATGGTCCTCGATTTATGACCGCCATTCTGACTAGCATTTCTGTCATTAAGCGAGCTGGCTGTTCCGTGAGCCTTGTGCCTGATTTTTACGACTTTTTTGGGGGAGGTCACGATTAAGCAAACCGTCTCGGTCCTTAAGGGAATCGCTGCTGTCCTTAAGCGAATTCGGCTTTCCCCCCCATTTGACTTTGCTTGTTGGGAAACCGGAGGGGGGAGGACACAAGTGGCGATCACACGACTTTGGGGACGCTGCAACCGGTTGTTAAGTGTGAGGTCTGGTTGTGAGTGACGTCATTCAATGCCGCTGTCACTTGGAATGGCCACTAAGCAAACAGTTGTAAATTGAGGACTCTCTGCATGCCCGAATTAGGCACAGGTGTGCAATCCTCGACTTTCTTGGCCGCTGATCCGTTTTTCCTCGCTTAACACAACGCGCATTCCCACACAAGAAGCACACTCTCCATCTTGATCGTTCTCCCTTGCACCACCACTTCTCAGGGGTGTGCAAAACGGCCCCGATCCGGCTTTAAACTCTGGTTCAAAACCGGGTTTTGGCGTCTCTCTGTCTCCCTCGGGGCACTGGCTTCGTTGTTGAATTGCCCCCCCCCCCCCACAACGTGGGGCAACCCACAACTTGCCTTTGTTGAAGTGTTGGTGAGTTTCCTCAGCTGCTATTCTTATCTGATTTTTTGTTGTTGTTGTTTGGGAACTCTGCTCACTTTGTACTTTTTAAAATTCTCTTTTTGTGGGGAGCTGTCTGGAGTCACGTATAGGAGATGGGTGGTCTATATGTTTACGAAATAAATGTAAACTTGATGGTCCACTTGATTAGTAAAAGAGAGTTTTGCCTTTATATACAGGCAGTCCTCGACTTACGACCACAAGAGAGCCTAGAAAATACGTTGCTAAGTGAGAAATTTCTTAAGTGAGTTTTGCCCCTGTTTTACAATGTTTCTTGCTACAGTTGTTTAAATTTCAGAACTCTCTGTTAACAAGCTGTTATTGTGATCCACTCTTGGAAAAATTATTATGGATTTGGCATTTTTGTTCTACCTACTGAGTCCTTCCAAGGACCTGGGATAGGCAGATATTATTATTATTATTATTTTGGATCATCGCACAGTCAGCCAGATGTTTAGACTGGATTTGGCATTTTGTCTACCTATCGAGTCCTTACCCAGGACCTGGGATAGGCAGATGTGGATGTTTGATGGTATTACAGGTATCGTCGCAGGATGGAAGCAGTTCCTAGTAAGGCCGCCTTTTGCAATTGACTAATAGCGAATTTGTCAATGCCAATGGTGTTCAAGTGGTGCTCCTGTTGTTTTGGGCTTGCACCCAAGTTGCCTATGATATTGTTACCACCCTTGCTTGCCTTTGCCACAGTCTTTCTATTTCTATTTGTAGGTCTTTGTATTTTGTGATCTTCTCCAGTTCTTTCTCTTCTATTCTGCTGTCTCCAGGCACTGCCACGTCCACCATCCAGACTTTTTTTTTTTTCTTATCGACAATTGTTAAGTCCAGGGTGTTATGTTGCAGGTGCTTGTCTGTTTGAATTCTGAAGTCCCAGAGCAGTTTAGTTTTATCATTTTCTATTACTTTCTCTATTTTATGATCCCACCAGTTCTTGCTTACAGGCAAATGATATTTTTTGCAGATCTCCCAATGAACCATTGTTGCTACTTTGTCATGCCGCTGCTTGTAGTCAGTCTGTGCAATCTTCTTGCAACAGCTTACCAAGTGGCCCACTGTTTCTTCAGCTTCTTTGCATAGGCAGTACTTACTGTCTGTTGCTGTCTTCTCAATTTTGATTTATTATTACTATTACTATTATTATTTATTAAAATGAAATAAAAGTTTTTGAAGTTAGAACAGCACTGAAAAAGGGACTTAAGACCGGATCTTGCAGATCACGGTGTTCCCCACAATCATGTGATCAAAATTTGGATGTTTGGCAACTGGCATGTACTTATGACAGTTGCAGCATCACCATTTGCAACCTTCCTGGCCATATTTGGAGAAGCAAACTCCCTGACGGAAGCCGGATTCACTTAACGCCCGTGTGCTTCACTTAACAGCTGCAGTGATTTGTGTAACACCATGGCCAAAAAAAGATTGCAAACTCGGGTGCAGCTCACTTAACTGTTGCTTTGCTTAGCAACGGAAATCCTGGCCCCAGTTGTTGCCATAAATTGAGGACCACCTGTAGGCTCCGGGAAATGTTGTTGTGGACAGAAGATTCAGACAAGAAAGAATGGTTGGAAACTCACCAAGGAGAGAAGCAACCTGGAATTAAGGAGCAGCTTCCTAACAGTGAGGACAATTAACCAGTGGAACAGCTTGCCACCAGAAGTTGTGGGAGCTCCGTCACTGGAGGTTTTTAAGAAGAGGCTGGACAGTCACTTGTCTGAGATGGTAAAGGGTCTCCTGCTTGAGCAGGGGGCTGGACTAGAAGACCTCCAAGGTCCCGTCCAGCTCTATTCTGATTCTGATTCATGGTTCCCTCCAGTTTATGTGAGGACTGATGTAGGCCTAGATAATGACATGCTTCAATTTCTCCACTTTTAATTTCTTTTTGTTGTTTCTCCAACCAGATGCGGACCATACTTCTCGTGTGCATCGTCCTTTTGCTTCCCATCTATCTGTTGCACAGATGTGAGTTCCTGCTAGGAGCTTTGGTGCTGCCCAGGTTGAGCGGGGTGTGTGTGTGTCTGTGTGTGGACTAGAAGACCTCCAAGGTCCCTTTCCAATTCTGTCATTTTGTCATTAATTCATTCATTGTTCACATTTCTGAACCGCCCCTCCTCCCTCAGAGAAGGATGTTAGAAGGTGTACAAGATGAAGATTCCCTGTGTTTACACGCTGGCTGTTGAAATGTGGTCTCTAGTCCAGGTTCCCTTCTGTGACAGGTGATGCTGAAACGGAAATCTGCCCGCCGGGATGGATGACCTCCAGGGGAGCGTGCTATTCAATCTTCTGCGAGAAGCGGACGTGGGCAGAGGCAGAGGTAAGGTGAGCCCCTCCAGGTTCACACTCCGAACTATGAACTGCCAACCACATGTGGCAATGAGCCCAGCTGGCATTCCCCCATTTACATCATTATCAGAATATCTGAGAGGTCCTCGGTGCTCACTGGGCGTGACGGTTTCCCTGCAGACGTTTCCATCAGCCAACTAGGGGACATCACCAGTGCTAGAAGAGAGTGGTTGGTGGAGTGGAGGAGGAGGAGGAGGAGGAGGAAGAAGAAGAAGAGGAGGGCTGTGGGGATGCTCTTTGAGCTTGGTTGTTTTCTTGTAGATATGTCATGACCCAACTAGGGAACATCATCAGTGCTAGAAGAGAGAGGTTGGTGGAGTGGAGGAGGAGGAGGAGGAGAACGACAATGACAAGGAAGAGGGTATCTGTAGGGTCCTTGATGTTCTCTGAGCTGGGCTGTTTTCTTGCAGACGTTTCATGAGCCAGCTAGGGAACATCATCAGTGCTAGCAAGAAGACAAGCTAGCTGAGAGAGCACTGAGGACCTCACGTTGAAATCTCATTTCTGCTGCCAGGCACTCAAACAACACATGCAATACATGCATTTCCCGGAGGAATTGGCTGGGTAGGAATACATTCCGTAAAGCTCTTCTGCTCTGCTCTTCTCTTTTCTCACGGGATCCCAGCAAGGTAGGAGCCCCCCTTGTCTGGAGCGACTTGAGTAAAAGAGCCTGTTCTGATTCCCCTTACTTAGAAAGACTGCCGTAACCACGGTACGCGTGCCCACCTGGCCTCCATTCTTGATGAAAAAGAAACAACGGTCGTGTCCAACTACATTGTCTCGTTGCTAATTAAAAACTTGGGACCCGTTTGGATCGGAATGTTTTACAAGGGAAAGGTAAATATCCTTTTCGTTTTATTTTAGAATGTCTCTCTCTATCCACATCGCTTTTTAATCAAGTGCGGGGGGAGCGGGGGGGGGGGTTTGAGAAAGAGCATGCCAAATGTGATTAGGTCCAATCCCGGCTTATTTTCTGCCATGTTACCCAGCCTAGGTCATGAGAATGTGGGTGAATTCAGGAATCAGATTAAGCATTTGGTGTGGACCCAGAGTAAAACATGAGTGTTGTTCATGTGGTCCCACCAGAGGTCGAAGAAATACATGGAGGGCTCTTCAGCCCTTTCTGAGTTTCGTTTTGACAAGTCAGGAATAAGTTTGCTGGTGAGAATGTTGGTTCATATACATATACAGTGGGGTAGGATGTATACCTCCCCGGCTACAGCTCAGGCTTCTTCTAGAGATAGTAGATATGAGGAAGGAAGGAAGGAAGGAAGGAAGGAAGGAAGGAAGGAAGGAAGGAAGGAAGGGAGGAAGGAAGGAAGGGAGGAAGGAAGGAAGGAAGGGAGGGAGGAAGGAAGGAAGGGGGAGGGATGAAGAAAAAGAAAAAAAATAAGAGAGGGAGGAAGGAAGAAGAAAGAAGGGAGAAAGCAAGCAAGAAAGAAAGGAGAGCAAGGAAGAAAGGAAAAGAATGAGAGCAAGGGAGGAAGGAATGAGAAAGAAGAAAGGAAGGAACAAAGGAAAAAAGAAAGAGAAAAGAAGGAAACAGAGCAAGGAAGGAAGGAAAAAAGAAAGGATGATCGAGGGAGGAAGGAAAAGAAAGAATAAGAGTGAGGGAGGAAGGGAGGGAGGACAGAAGGGAGGGAGGAAGGAAGGAAAATAGTGAATGAAGGAAGGGAAGAAGAAAGGAAAGTGAAGGAAGAATGGAGAAAGAAGGAAGGGAGAAAAAGAAAAAGAAAGAAAAGAAAGGAGAAAGGAAAAAGAATAAGAGTGAGGGAGGAAGGAAGGAAGGAATGAAGGAGAAAAAAGGAAGGAAGGAAAAAAGGGAGGGAGGAGAATAGTAGAGAGAGGAAGGAAGGAAGGAAGGAACGGAGGAGAGAAAGGAAGGAAGGAAACAAACCATATTATGGAAGTTTCCCCATCCAGGAAAATCTCCCAAACTTTTCATCCAGAGCAGCAAACTGACCACTGATGGTGGGTCAGGAGATCTACATTCTAGAAGACCCAACGTGAGGAATCCAGTTTAGCAAGACCCGTGAAAACCTGCAAAGGCGCAGCAAAATGGCGGAGCCTTCTGGATGTCTGGAGGACCATTGCTGTCGCTTGGGGGGGGAGCCGAAAGACCCCTCAACAGCCATACTTGAGGAGAGATTGCCTCAGTCCACCATTTTTTCATTCCCCCCGAATCATCAAACAATCTGATTTCGGGCGGGCGAGCAGGCGGAGGGCCTCCCCTTCGATAAAAGAGACCTTCTTCTTTTCCAGAACTCGCCCCAGGGAGATTGGTGGTGGATGGACGCCTACAAAGTTTTTTACTACAACTGGGCCCAAGGGTCACCTGAAGTGTCGGAAAACAGGAAGTACTGCGTCTACTTAATGGGAAACGGTGAGGCGTCTCCTATAAGGAGGACAGCCCAGCCAGTTCAGGAAGTCCTCGGCTTTCGACCACAGCTGAGCCCAAAATTTCCGTCGCTAAGCGAGACAGCGATTCAGCGAGCTTGGCCCCATTTTACGACTTTTCCAGCCACGGTTGTTAAGCGAGTAACTGCAGTTAAGTTAGTCACACGGTTGTTAAGTGAATCCAGCTTCCCCCATTGACTTTGTCAGAGAATCGCAAAAGAGGATCATGTGACCCCCCGGGATGCTGTGACCGTTGTAAATGTGGAGTTTGCAACTAAATGAGCAGTTGTGAGTGTAACTGTTACCTCTAGTTCAGCGGTTCCCAACCTATGGGTCACGACCCCATTTGGGGTCGATCGACCATTTTATGGGAGTCGTGAAACAACATTTTTCCCCCCCCAGGGGGCGGCACCACGGCGCATTCGTGTGACGCGGTCGCCGTCACACGAAGATTGAGAATCGCTGCTCTAGTTGGTCTGATTTGGCTATCCTTACAGAAGCCAAATATATACAAATATCACAAAGTGTTGTATCTTATGATTTACGATGAAAATATTTTTATGATGATTACAATCATGATTTATCTCTTGTTGCTTGTCTGTACAGTGCGAGCTTCTGCACCAGAGACAAATTCCTTGCACGTCCAATCACACTTGGCCAATAAAGGATTCTGTTTCTGTGTGTTTCTAATTCTGTTTCTATTTCTATTATTTCTGTTTCATTCCATTCCACATTCTATTCTGTTCCGTTCTGTTCCATTCCATTCCGTTCCATTCCATTCCATTCTATTCTACTCTACTCTATTCCATTCTATATATTCTATTCTATTCTATTCTATTCTATTCTATTCTATTCTATTCTATTCTATTCTATTCTACTCTACTCTACTCTACTCTACTCTATTCCTTATTCTATTCTATTCTACTCTACTCTACTCTACTCTACTCTACTCTATTCTATTCTATTCGTTAAGTCCCCTTCCTAATTCTCTTAATTTGACTTCTGGCATTTAAGACTTCTCCAGATCAGGAGTCAGATAAAGAGCCCATCTTAGTAGGCCAATTTATCTAAGTTGAAGAGGCCAAAAATTCCCCTTCCGCCAATTGGTTCCAAAGCAACTTTCCGGTAGCAGTCTAGTCTCATTGGGATGAATACAGGAAGGCATAGCTGTAGGCAGGAGGGGAAATTCTCAAGGTGTGACTGAGGACCCTCAAAAGCTGAACTTGGGGTGCGAAGGCTGAACTAGAGAATCAAAGTCTATGAGACCCTCTTTCTGTGCCTTTCAGAATATAAATACTGGAAAGAAACGGACTGCAAACAAAGATTCGGTTACATTTGCAAGTATGAGCTCAAGTATCAACGGCGTTGATCCATCTTGGCGTTCCTCCGATCATGTAGGTTTCAGAAGCATCGATCAAGACAGAGTGGGACAGCTCGCCACGGCCAACTTGCTGTGGACAATTCAACAATTCGGTTCAATTATTTAAATAATAATACTAGTAATAAATATTTCAATTTTTGTCATTCATTTTTCATTTGGTTCCTCCTTTGGCATCTTCTTTAATGATTCTGTTCCACCATTTCTTCAATGTGAGTGTAACTCTAGAGAATCCTTTCCTCAAATAAAGGAACAGACACCAGATGTACGTCCCTAACCGATGGGATCCACAACAGGCCCTGCCTTCTCATCCTGATGGGCTGGGTGGATGAAATAGGGGAGAGGTGGTCCTTCAAACAGCCTGATCCCAAGCCATGGGAGGCAGCGGCTCCAGTGGTGGCGGTGGCACAGCAGCATTGTTGGGGTTCCTCGCTGCTGCCAAGGCCCGGCTGCTGCCCCCGCTGCGTCCTCAGCCGAATGGGTGTGGAGGGGGAGCAGGACATGAGGCAGCGGCTCCAGCAGCGGCAGCGGCACGGCAGCATCGTCAGAGTTCCTCGCCGCTGCCCCCGGCCTGACTGCCGCCCCCGCTGGGACTTTGCGCTGCCCGGCTTTGCCCTCTGCCCATCGATGGAGCTGCGGTGGAGACAGCGCCCACCTGAGCCGCCTGAGGGGCAGCAGGAGGAAGGAGAGGAGGAGAGCAAGGAAGCAGCCACCCCAGCAGGGACTCCACGCTGCCTGGCCTCGTCCTCTGTCCATCGATGAAGCCGCGGTGGGGGCTGGTGCCACACGGCCCACCAGCCCCTCCGCCAGCCTAGCTTCTCCCCCCAGGTACCCCTCTTGCTCCGGCACTTGCCCGAGCCGCCCGGGGGGCACCAGAAGGAAGAAGGAGAGGAGGAGGGTGAGGAGGGCAAGGAAGCCGCCGCTAGCGCTGGGCCCCAGGAGGGGGCTCTCCTCTCCTACCTTTGCTGCATCTCCTTCTTCCTTCCCGGCAGCCTGGACTCCGGCGCGCCTTCCCAGCCAGCAGGTCCAACGGTCGGGCTGGCTGGAGATTGCAGGGGCTGGTCTCCCTTGGGCCATGGCTTGCGGGAGGGCTGGCCCACTCAGCGGAGCCTCCAGCGGGCCACTCCCAGCAGGGATCCCAGGGCTTCCCTGGGCGGCTCCAAGGCCACGAGGCCCTGGCCGCGCTTCTCCCAGGGGGTGGGGCACCCGGGAACAGGGCCAATCAGGAGCCCTGCATGAGGTAAGTCCACCTGAGAGAAAGAGAGAAGGGAAGCGAAAGTGCCTCTCTCTTTTTCTCTCTACAAATGGCGGAGGAGGCTCCGGAGCCGTAGGTGATGGCTCAAAGAGCCGCATGCAGCTCTGGAGCCGCGGGTTGCTGACCCGTGAGCTATACAGTCCAGAATAATGAGCATCCTAGTCCGAGCTAAATCCAAACACGCAAGAGAATTCCAGGAATCCGGGCACTTAGACATCACTTATGTTAGACTGACATGTGCGTTCACTCACTAATAAGACAGATGAATTACTTCTTTTAAACAGATGTAACCCTGATTTTTACAGCTCGGAGGCGGATTTGATGAATGATTTTTGTTGTTAATTGCGAAATTGTGTCTGACCCATCGACGTTCCCCCAGGCCTTCCTGTCCTCTACCGTCTTCTGGAGTCCATTTAAGCTCATGCCTACTGCTTCAGTGACTCCATCCAGCCATCTCATTTTCTGTCGTCCCCTTCTTCTATTTCCCTCAATCTTTCCCAGCATTAGGCCCTTTTCCAGTGAGTCCTTCCTTCTCATCAGGTGGCCAAAGTAGTTGAGTTTCAACTTCAGGATCTGGCCTTCTCAGGAGCAGTCAGGGTTGATCTCCTCCGGGACCGACTGGTTGATCACCTTGCAGTCCAGGGGACTCGCAGGAGTCTTCTCCAGCCCCAGAGTTCAAAGGCCTCCATTCTCTGGCACTCAGCCTTTCTTAGGGTCCAACTTTCACAGCCGTACATTGCAACTGGGAAAACCATGGCCTGGACTATATGCACTTTTATTGGCAGGGTGATGTCTCTGCTTTTTAATATGCAGTCTAGATTTGCCATAGCTTTCCTCCCCAGGAGCAAGCAAGTCTGTTAATTTGATGAATGATAGCAGTTTGCACATCCCAGGATGTCCGATACGGAGAGCAGACAGAATTGCAGACACACCCGGTTAAAAAGAAGGGAGGCAGACCATGCCCCACCGTCCAGCCAGAGCTGAAGAAGCTTCTTGAGTGAGAAGCGAAACGTCCTCAAAGCAAAAACAAGAAAGTCCAGTTGACCTCGTGAAAAAGCCTCTTTGGCAGTCAGTCTCTTGCTTTTTATATTAACAGCCGAAGGGAAAACATATAGCTACGCTAAAGAAATCTTGTGATGTGGATCGTTGCAAACCGTTTTATTCTCCACCAGAGTTCTCCTCGTTTATACTGGCTGCAATTTACGTTCCAGCCCAAGCGTGCATGGACAACGCATTACAAACTTGAGCTGGCCAAATTCTGTGGGCTGAACAGAGACATCTAGACTGCCGTTGTGTTAGGAGATTTCGTAGTGCTAACTTAAGCCAAGAACTGCCAAGATACATTCAGCATGTCTTACTAGAGGCAAGAATATTTTAGACCACTGCTACGCATTAAAACAGGGGTCTTCCAACTTGGCCCTTTGATGACTCGTGGACTTCAACTCCCAGAATTCCTCAGTCAGGCAATTCTGGGAATTGAAGTCCACGAGTCATCAAAGGGCCAAGTTGGAAGACCCCTGCATTAAAAGATGCTTATCGGTCCTCACCATGAGCAGCTGTGGGACACTCGGATCATTGCATGAGTCACCTTGTACCTGTTTATAGGCAAAGGCTTAAAACCATAAAACCAGCAATTAAATTAGCAAAGTCCTGGACAGAGGAGGCAGAGTTAAAGCTACAGGCTTGCCTTGACTGCACAGATTGGAATGATTGGAATGTTTTGTCAAAGCTACCTTGGGTGAACTCGCAGAGACTGTGACCTCGTGGGTCAGTTTTTGTGAAGACCTCTGTGGGGACCAGAAGCCTGCACATACACAGTAACAACAAGCTAAACTCTAGCAGCTGCGGGGTGCCAAAGACGAAGCCTACGGGAAAGGAGATAGAATGCTGTACAATCAGGGCAGGAATGTATCAACAAGGGAGATATATAGCAACAACCTAAGATATGCAGATGATACCACTCTAATGGCAGAAAGTGAAGAGGAACTAAAGAGCCTCTTGATGCGGGTGAAGAAGGAGAGTGCAAAAATTGGCTTGAAACTCAACGTTAAGAAAACCAAAATCATGGCATCCGGCCCTCTCAATTCCTGGCCAATAGATGGGGAAGAAATGGAGGTAGTGACAGATTTTATTTTTCTGGGCTCCAAGATCACCTCAGATGGGGACTGCAGCCAAGAAATTAAAAGACGCTTGCTCCTGGGGAGGAAAGCTATGGCAAATCTAGACAGCATACTAAAAAGCAGAGACATCACCCTGCCAACAAAAGTGCGTATAGTCCAGGCCATGGTTTTCCCAGTTGCAATGTATGGCTGTGAAAGTTGGACCATAAGAAAGGCTGAGCGCCAAAGAATGGAGGCCTTTGAACTATGGTGCTGGAGAAGACTCCTGCGAGTCCCTTGGACTGCAAGGCGTTCAAACCGGTCAGTCCTAGAGGAGATCAACCCCGACTGCTCCTTAGAAGGCCAGATCCTGAAGTTGAAACTCAACTACTTTGGCCACCTAATGAGAAGGAAGGACTCACTGGAGAAGGTCCTAATGCTGGGAAAGATGGAGGGCAAGAGAAGAAGGGGACGACAGAGAGTAATGAGGTGGCTGGATGGAGTCACTGAAGCAGGAGGTGTGAACTTAAATGGACTCCAGAAGATGGTAGAGGACAGGAAGACCTGGAGGAACGTTGTCCATGCGGTCGCGATAGGTCAGACACGACTTCGCAATTAACAACAACAACAATTCATAGCTAGCTATCCCAGTCCCCCTTTAACTCTTTGTTAGCAATCCAAAAAAATTTAGCATACATGTATATATATATTGTTTCTTTCTTTCTGCATTGGGCTTCAAGGTCAGTCAGGTGTGACTCATTGAATCCTGCTTGTTTTATGCCTTAAAAAGACTATTTTATACTTACTGTTCCAGAACGTCCTCTCTTAAGCCAATTTCCCCACCTACCTTTAATCCAGTGTTTTCAAACTTACGTATCAGCAGATAAGATCTTAAGGAAATTTCTGAAAGCACCTGTCTCCTGTTGAGCAAATTTCTCCACGCCTTGTTAAACAAATAGTTTCAAACAGCGTATCAGCAGGTCAGATCTTAAGGAAAGATGAAAATAGACATTAATGAGCATCAGAGTAAGAGAGAAAGACGTGGGGGAGGAAGAAGGGGACTGTATGGTCCTTGATGTTCTTTCAGACTGGTTTTTTTTTTTTCAGACATTTTATGATTCAGCTGGGGAACATGGTCAGCACCGAGAAGTTGTGTAATGAAACTTCTGGAAGAATCTAACCCAACTTCAAAGAGCACCAAGTTTGTCCCACAGATTGGGCCTCCTTCAGCTCCCGTCGGCCAGACAAGGTCAGCTGGCGGGCCCTCGGGGAAGGGCCTTTTCTGTGGTGGCTCCGACGTGGTGGAATCAACTCCCCCCCCCCCGAGATTCGAACTACTCCCACCTTGCCAGCCTTCAAGAAAGCTATTGAAACTCTCCTGTTTCGGCAGGCCTGGGGTTGATGTCCCCAGGGGAGCTGGGATACGATTGGGACATGCTGTGTGAACGTATTCATTTTTAATTGTTATACTTGTGGTTTTAATTTTGTACGCCGCCCTGAGTCCCTAGGGATTGGGCGGCATATAAATTTTACAAATAAATAAATAAATAAATAAATAAATAAATAAATAAATAAATTAGCCCCGGGGAACCTCTGCGGTCAAGGGGAAGTTGAGGTAGGTCTGCGAGACTGGCTTGTAGGAAGCAGCAACAACAGGAGGCTACAAAAAGCCCCCTCCCCTTTGTGGTCTGCAACATATTTGTGGCCCTGGGTGAGTGGAGCCATTGTGAGTCAGAGCAAGGCTGGATAGGACCACAACTCTCTGTGCTGGTCCCTCCATTGCCCTGGAATTAGTTAAGACCAAGCGGGGCCTGAAGAGAACGCGAGCACTCAGCTGAGTCTGGAGAAATTCAGATTTATTTACCGTAACAGAATAACAACAGAATGATAGCAGAATAACGACGGAATAACAGAGTCGGAAGGGACTTTGAAGGCCTTCTAGTTCAACCTCCTACTCAGGCAGGAAACCCTACACAATTCCAGACAAAGAAAAGGAAGGCAGATAGTGTCACCCTACTGCAGCCACACAACAGGTCGGGAAACAGCATCTGGGCTACGGGGGTGGGCCTGGCCGATAAACTGAATTATATGCTCCAGCCAAACTGGACGGTTGTCTTGCAAATGCTTTTGGCTACTTCGTGGCAAGGCTGGGAGCGAAGGCTCTCATTCTGGATGTAGGCGCAGCCGTCATCGCCCAATATTCCGTATCTGAAATAGATAAGAGATTTTTATGTGTTCTCCCAGTTTCAAGATGTCCAGCAGGATCCCGCCCTGCTCAAGGATTCTTCAGCATGTAGACCAGCAAAGACATCAGAGGCGAGAACGAAGGTCACGCAACTGAAGGCTTAGCTCAGTCAACGCAAACAAAACAACAACATGATGGAGAAGGGATGGTGGGAAATGAAACGCAGCCCCAGCGAGATTCTACCAAGTCCCCAAGATACATAAAATAGGAGCCCCCTTCAGACCTATCCAAATGCTACAAGACACCCCTACATATAACCTAGCTCAGGGGTAGCCAACCTTGGCTCTTTTATGACTCGTGAACTTCAACTCCCAGAATTCCTGAGCCAGCATGGCTGACTGGCCCCTTTTATGACTGGGGGACTTCAATTCCCAGAATTCTTGAGCCAGCCTGGCTCAGCTTGGAAACCTCTCCCTTTCCCCTCAGTGTGGCTGGTTCAGGAATTCTGGGAATTGAAGTCCACAAGTTATAAAATAGCCAAGATTGCCTACCCCTGACACTAGCTAAATGGTTGGCACAATGCTTAAGGTACCTGACACAACCTTCAAACAGCACAGTCACACCAACCACACAGTTTCTGCCAAAACTACATGGCTTAAATGTGGCTCCTGATGAGATCATGGTAAATAGTGGTCCGTATTTACATCCCTCCCTCCCCACTTAGCATATGAAATAATAATAAAGCTGAAAGAATGGTTTCTTGTATTGCTTTTAACATAAGGAGAATCTGTTCCTGATCTTCATCCATATTCTCTTAGTAGTGTGTTAAATTAAGAGCTTTAAAGTCAGAGAGTGAAAATAATTTTATAACCGAGTATATTAAAAAAAGTCTTATGTGTAGTCTGGGCTTCCAGCCAAGTCTCCTTTAGACAATAACAAGTTGTAATATCAAACCTAGCCACAAGATGTCACCAATGCCATTTAAGTTTTTTTTTATGTCCAAAATTTTTATAGTCCTTTTCCCAATTTTATTTCTGTTTTGTAAATAAAAACCCCACAGGTCAATCCTAAGCTACTGGTGTTCTCTGATGAGAATTTGAAATGTAATGAGCAGGGATGCCAGACCCACTTCAACAACAGAGTAATTCCCGTCTCTTATTCAGGTTCATAACGTAAGGGGTGTGAGAAATAACCAATTCTGGGCAGAGCTTACTGATTGGGGTTGAAGGCAGTTCCGTCTAACCACAGCCATCTCTTTTGCACGATATCGTAGGCCAAACCAATCCAGAATTTGTCATATTCATACGTCTTTGGATCCAGATAATAATGCGTAAAGGAATGAAACTTCAGGAAATGCTAAAATATAAAAGGACCAGAGTCAGGCCAGGCTTCAGAAGAAAGATAAATGCTGCCTGGCTAAGGATGAAAGTTGATTCACTCACCACTGTTACAACCTGCCTGCATTAGCCATATAAATATTGTTATTATACTTACACGGCTAATGAATAACAGAGTTGGAAGGGACCTTGAAGGTCTTCTAATCCAACACCCTATACAATTTCAGACAAATGGATGTCCAGTCTCTTCCTAAAAACCTCCTGTGCACCTGCAATCTTCCTGCCTAGATACGCTCTTGAAGGTGCAAGAGAGAGGTTGGGCATTAGACCAGAGTGGAACAGAATAATTGAATTGGAAGTATTTGAGGGGCTGCCACAAAGAAGAGGGGGGGGGGGTCAGCTTATTTTTCCAAAGCCCCAGAGGGCAGGACAAGAAACAATGGATGGAATACTCTGCCTTCTTTAGAAGAATGGGTATTTAAGGTTTCTAACTTAGCAGAAATGGCTAAAATTTCTGCTTATTTAAAGGACCGTTCACAAGAGAGATATTTTAACGTATGGAGAAGATGGATAGAATATGTCCAGAAGAAGCATGGAACTACAAAGTTTCACTTATTTTATGAGTAATGAATTTGTTTATAAATTTATGACGTTAAAGTTTGAAGAGAGTTAAGGGTTAGTATGATTTTGGTTTTTGTATAATTATTAAACTTAAATAGATTATGTTTAGTATATTTGTATAACCCTGTACTTAGCTCTGGGAAGTCAGGGGGGAGGGCGGTGGGGGAGGGGGGTGGGGGAAGGATGGGTTGAAATTTTAGTAATTGAGATAAGTAGAAATAGTTTTTATTGTATATAATATTGAGGTTCCAATTTGGAGAGAGGAATTGCTCGGGCATTTCCCCCCCCCCTGGACCGCACCCAGAGTGAGAGGATAGAAGAAGGTGAGAAGTAAGTAGGAAGGTGGAGGAGGGGGGGGTGAGGGAGAAAGAGAAAGAAGAGGGAAAGAGGCAAGTTGGTTAGAGGGTGGATGCGGTTTGGGGGGAAATGGGTGAGTAATACCGAAAATGGTGTGTATTAACTTGTTTTATTTTTTATCTGAAGTATTTTTAAGATTGTATTGTATTGCAAAATTGAAAATAAAATTTTTTTACAAAAAAAGAAGCAACGGATGGAAACTAACCAAGGAGAGAAGCAACCTGGAAGTAAGGAGAAACCTCCTAACAGTGAGGACAATTAACCAGTGGAATGGCTTGCTTCCAGAAGTTGTGGCTGCTCCATCACTGGAGGTTTTTAAGAAGAGACTGGACCACCATTTGTCTGAAGATGGTGGTCCAAAAGATTATCTGGGACACTACACATCCTCTTCACGACCTGTTTTCTTTGTTCCCTTCTGGGGGAGGAGGGGGCTTCGTGGTATCCGTAGCAGAACATCCAGATTCAGCCATAGTTTCATCCCATACAGCATTAACCTTGTGAACTCTCAAGCTTCCTCCTTCCGTTATATATTCAAGATGGACAGTATTTAATATTTATTTGCTACGTATATGTAGGGATGTGGGTCTGCACATATGTTGTTCATAGTATGTTTAGGTGTGTGTCATGTATGTTTCACTTTGAGAGCGGGCAACTAAATTTCATTTTTGATGTGTGCCGTTGTACCCACAGTAAAAAAATGACAATAAAGGTTATCTTATCTTATCTTATCTTATCTTATCTTATCTTATCTTATCTAAATGGTAGAGGGACTCCTGCTTGAGCAAGGGGCTGGACTAGAAGACCTCCAAGGTCCCTTCCAGCTCTGCTCTGAATTGAATGGGATTGATTAGTTTCCATCCATTCCTTCTTGTCCTGCCTTCTGGTGCTTTGGAGAATAGGTTGACCCTTCTACTTTGTGGCAGCCCCTCAAATATTAGAAATTCTGGGAGTTGTTGAAGTCCATCCATCTTAAAGCATGCTGGTTGGGGAATTCTGGGAGTCCAAGTCCACCCCATCTCAGAGGCTATTGACTGGGGCATTCTGGGAGCTGGTGCCCACCCATCTTAAACCTCTAAAGCTGAGAAACACCGCTTCAGAGGCACCCCGTGCAGTTTCACAGGGGCATTACCCAGCCCCCTGCACCCTCTGTAGCCTCCCCCATCTCCCCCAGACTCAGTACCATCTCCTCCATGTTTGTGACCATCGTCAGATCCGCGTTCTCCTCCTGGCAGAAGGTCTGGCTGGAATGCCAGCTGAGTTGTCTGTTCCGGAAGAAATAGCAGTTGCTGCTTAGTTGCATCCACTGGACTTTGCAGACGCTGCAGTTCCGAACTAAGGAGAGGAGAAGCAACGGAGCGCCCAGACATCACATTCCCGAAGACATTTGCAGCCTAAGCTGAAGCAATACAGGTCGTCCTCGATCAGGACTAGAATTTCCATTGCTAAGTGAGTCTCTCCCGGGTGTTTTGTCTTTTTTGGCCCTGGGGGTTAAGCAAACTGCTGCCGGTTTATTTATTTTATTTATTTATTTATGAGACTTATATACCGTTTTAAGTGCAAGCATTCTCTAAGTGGTGTACACCAGTAAGCAATGTATATATATATATATATATATATATATATATATATATATATATATATATATATATATATATTAAACAATAAAATATACGAACACCAGGAAGTTATAAAACTATAAAAAGTTTAATAAAACCAGAATAAAACCAAGCTTTCGCTGGCATCTGCCAGCATCATCAGGGTAGTCTCCAGTCGATGGGAGAAGCTATTTATAAGTGTGGTGTTCTTTGCGCCCGGCTTCTTGACCTCGTCATGGGTCCCAGCCAATCCACCTGCATTTTGATCGTAGTTTCTGTGTTGCAAGCTGTAATTTCCTCACTTTCCTTACTTGTGCTGGTACCGCAGCTCTTCCTCCCTTCTTTGCATAACTATAAGTCGGGGGGGGGGGGACTCCTTAATTTCACGTAATTAGATGTGCCCTGTCTGTGTTTATGTTGTTTATTCACCTCATCCTCCTTCTTGGTACTCTCTATTTCTCTTCTCCTCCCCCTGTTTCTCTGTTTACGATCCTCTTTCAAAACTATACCCTCATTGTTTGTCTCTGTAGCCCATGATTCCATTGTGTTTACATCATCCTGTTTCCCGATCCTTCGTATCACTTTATTAACTCCCCTTTCTATTTTCTCTTCAATGGGGGTGATTTTAACACCCTCTCCAGAATTCGTGGCACCCACAAATTGATTGCTGACCCCTTTTTCCGAGGGAGCTGTCCCTTCACTGTTGTTTGTGTATTCACTCATTACTTGGGGGTATGCAATCTTCCTTAAAAGGAGAGGGGCGGAATCCTTACAGTCGGTGACTTGCATCTCCTTGTGCATTCCTACGGGGAGTCGTACCTCTCAAATGTCTGTAGGAGCGTGTGGAAGCTCTAAGATTATAGCGAACAGGCTTCTCATCTCCCCGTTGTTCTCCTGCATTCCCAAGGCAATAACAATTCAAATGGGAAATGTCATTAATCAAGTTAGTTGCAGGATCGCAGGTGGAATTACACGTGGTATTCCAATCCTTCGAATCATGATTGTTTAATAACCCAAAGTCTATACCAGATCGCTTTTTTGTCAAACTCCTCGCTGTTCCCGGGGAGACCCTCAATTCATCGGCACTTGGCTCTTGGTTGTCAATCCACTCCTGTATGCATGAGGGAGGGGCATATGTTTCAGCAGGTGGAGAGTTACTCTGCTGCTGGTTATTCCCTGTCTGAGTGTTTCCAAGGCCCATCTCCTCCGGTCAACCCTCTTTGCCGAAGGCACGTAATGTTACATCGTTTTTCTCCGGAGGGACGGTTGCGCATTGCCCATGCTCTTAATATTACATGTGCTGGGCATAGGTCCACATGTCTGTTGATGGATTCTTTGTTAGAGAGCCACGCCTCTTTAAGGAGCCGGCCCCCCTTCGTGCTGTCACTGGCCATCACCTGCACGTTGCTAAAATCGAACCTATGCCCAGATTCTAGCATATGCGCCCCGATTTGGGAATACTGGTCGCCTCTCCTTACCGCCAACTTATGCTCGTGAATTCTAGTTTTGACACGTTTGGAGGTCTCCCCCACGTAATTAGCAGAGCAACCTTCACAGTTGATCCTGTAAATGACATTGGACTTCTCTATGGTGGGGAATGGATCTTTCAATCTCATCACCTTAGATCGCAGCGTCTGGTTGGGGTTATGTGCCACCCTCACATCATAGGGTGCCAATATCCTAGCCGTGGCTTCTGAGACGGTGTTAATATACGGGAGAGTGATACGAAGTCTCTGTGATGTATGTTCTTCTGTTTGGGACCTGATGGGGAGGGAGGGTCTGGATGATAGTCCATGGCGCCTGATGAACTTCATAGGGTAACCATTGTGCCTGCACACCTTAAAAAGGTGCTTCTTTTCTTCCGTCCTAGCCTTGGCAGTGCTGCAGTGGGAGCCTACTCTCTTGAAGAGTGTTCTAATACAGCTGGCCTTGTGGGCCACTGGATGGTTGCTATCATAGTGTAGAATTCTATCTGTGTGCGTGGACTTGCGGTAGACCCTGGTCTTCAGAGTTCCATTAGGTTGGCGGTGGACCAGGACATCAAGAAATGCCAACTCACCCTGGTGCTCTTCCTCTTCCGTAAACTGCAAATCCACGCACACCGAATTGAGTATGCCCACAAAGCCAGCTTTTTGGCTCCTCTTGATGATGACAAATGTATTGTCTACGTAGCGAGCCCAGAATTTAGGACAACACTGGGTCATCGCTACGTGCTCCAATTGCTGCAGCACTGCCTCTGCTATGATGCTGGATATTGGTGACTCCATGGGGGTGCCCTTAACCTGCTCAAAGGTAGTGCCCTGGAATGTGAAGTATGTTTTTAAACATACTTCTAATAGATTTATGAGGTCCTGAGGCCGAAGGTGGTCCTGCTGGTGACCTAAACCTTTTTTCTCGAGAAGGTCTTTTATCGTCTTGATGGCCAGATCTTGTGGGATAGAGGTGAAGAGGGAGACGACATCAAAAGATATCATCACCTCATCATCCTCTATCCTCAAAGACCTGATCCTGTCAAGGAAATACTCAGCAGATTTGACAGTAGTGGAACCACCCTCAACCAAATGGTTGATGCGATTACTCAGCCATTTGGCAAGGCCTGAGGTCGGAGTGTCCCTAAACGCCATAATCCCATAATCGGGCGAAGGGGGACCCCCTCATTATGGACCTTAGGAAGGCCATAAAATCTGGCCATTGCGGTGTCGGTGTCGCTAGGGCGCAGCTTTCTAAGAGTAACCTCATCAAGCCTCTTACTGCGTTTGAGGTTGTTAAGTAATTTATTAGTATGGTTTTTAAGGGCCGTCATGGGGTCACCGTCTACCATTCTATAAGCTGTATTATCATTGAGCAGGCACAATGCCTTACCAATATATTGCGCCTTGTCCATAATGACAGTGGCCCTCCCCTTATCTGCTGGCATTATAAGGAATGCACAAGGAGATGCAAGTCACGACTGTAAGGATTCCGCCCCTCTCCTTTTAAGGAAGATTGCATACCCCCAAGTAATGAGTGAATACACAAACAACAGTGAAGGGACAGCTCCCTCGGAAAAAGGGGTCAGCAATCAATTTGTGGGTGCCACGAATTCTGGAGAGGGTGTTAAAATCACCCCCATTGAAGAGAAAATAGAAAGGGGAGTTAATAAAGTGATACGAAGGATCGGGAAACAGGATGATGTAAACACAATGGAATCATGGGCTACAGAGACAAACAATGAGGGTATAGTTTTGAAAGAGGATCGTAAACAGAGAAACGGGGAGGAGAAGAGAAATAGAGAGTACCAAGAAGGAGGATGAGGTGAATAAACAACATAAACACAGACAGGGCACATCTAATTACGTGAAATTAAGGAGTCCCCCCCCCCCGACTTACAGTTATGCAAAGAAGGGAGGAAGAGCTGCGGTACCAGCACAAGTAAGGAAAGTGAGGAAATTACAGCTTGCAACACAGAAACTACGATCAAAACGCAGGTGGATTGGCTGGGACCCATGACGAGGTCAAGAAGCCGGGCGCAAAGAACACCACACTTATAAATAGCTTCTCCCATCGACTGGAGACTACCCTGATGATGCTGGCAGATGCCAGCGAAAGCTTGGTTTTATTCTGGTTTTATTAAAACTTTTTATAGTTTTATAACTTCCTGGTGTTCGTATATTTTATTGTGTAATATGAGTCTACCCAGGAATCACTGTTTTGTTTTTAATATTCTTAATAATATATATATATTATGGCTTGGCTGTGTTCTGATTGGGTGGAGGTGTGTTCTGAATGGTTAGGGGTTTGGCTGTGCTCTGATTGGCTGGGGGAGTGTTCTGTTTGGTTGTGCTCAGGTTAGTCTGAGTTGCAGAGGGGTTTGAGATTTTGGGCTGCCTTGTTATTTTTTGGCTTCGCGTTCGTGGTTGTGCTTCCTCTTCATGGAGGGTGTCAGTTTGCTTCATGTATGGATTGGAGGGGTTTAAAGTGGCTAATGATGCAGCTGTGGTCTGGCTTCTGGTTTGTGGTCGTGCCTCGTCATCAGTGTGGCTTTGGGTTTGTTTTTTGCGTGGATGTGTGGTGGTGACATCCTGTGTGGTTTTTGTGAGTGTGGGTCTGGTATCATTTTTTGTGTTAGGGAGTCGTTTGTCAATAAGGGCGGGTTTCCAAATGGCTGGTAGGCGGGAGGTATCATCTCGCTTGTTCATGCTGTGTGGGCGTTTTTCTATCTCGATGGCTTCTCTGATTATTCTGTTATTAAAATGTTCACTTTTGGCAATGGTTCTGGTATTTTTAAAGTCAATTTCATGTCCTGTGGCTTTAAGGTGTTGGACCAGGGAAGATGTTGGTTCCTCTTTTTTGACTGAGTTCTTATGTTCTTCAATGCGTGCACTTATTCTTCTGTTGGTTTGTCCGATGTATGTGGTGGGACAAGTGGTGCATGGGATTTCGTATACTCCTTGATTTTCTAATTCAATTTTATCTTTGGGGTTTCTAAGGATGGTGGATATTTTTCTGTTTGTGCAGAATGCTGTTTTGATGTTGTGTTTATGGAGGATCTTACTGATTCTGTCTGTGGTGCCTTTTATGTATGGGAGGAGGGCTTTGCCGTTTTCTTGTTCTTTGTCTTGGATTTTAGTGGGGGTTTCTTTTTGGATTAGGTTTGTAATCTTATTTCTATGGAATCCATTGGATGTTAGTACATTGGTGAGAGTGTGTAGTTCGGGTTTTAGGTGTTGTTCGTCAGCTAAGCGTTTTGTTCTGGAGATGAGTGTCTTGGCTACAGAGTTGATCTGTGCTGGGTGGTGGTGTGAGAGAGCGTGCAGATAGCGGTTTGTGTGTGTTTTCTTCTGGTAGATGGTGTGTCCTAGGGAGCCATTGGATTTCTTGTAGACTAAGACATCCAGGAAGGGAAGTTGGTTGTTAGCTTCTGTTTCCATGGTGAACTGTATTTTGGGGTGTAGGCTGTTGAGGTGTGTGAGGAAGTTGTCCAGTTTTTCTTTCCCATGTGGCCAGATTATGAAGGTGTCGTCTACGTATCGGATCACAAACCCAAACTCTGGCTCAGATACGTACACTCACAAAAACCACACAGGAGGTCACCACCACACATCCACGCAAAAAACAAACCCAAAGCCACACCGATGATGAGGCACGACCACAAACCAGAAGCCAGACCACAGCTGCATCATTAGCCACTTTAAACCCCTCCAATCCATACATGAAGCAAACTGACACCCTCCATGAAGATGAGGCACGACCACGAACGCAAAGCCAAAAAATAGCAAGGCAGCCCAAAATCTTAAACCCCTCTGCAACTCAGACTAACCTGAGCACAACCAAACAGAACACTCCCCCACCAAACAGCCAACCCCCCAGCCAATCCCCCAGCCAATCAGAGCACAGCCAAGCCCCTAACCAATCAGAACACACCTCCACCCAATCAGAACACAGCCAAGCTCCCACCCAATCAGTTCATACCCCCACTGGCAGTTAAAAGGAAGAAACAGCTAAGACCACACATTGCTGCTCGAAGCACGAAGCTGAAAACACCAGCCTGAAGATGACGAATGGGACTTCGTCGAAACGTCGCCAAGACACTTCCAATTTTACGCGGGAGAAAACCCGAACAACCAAAGACCTACATACAAATACCCGCGAAAACCTCAGACACACACACAACACACACACACACACACACACACACACACACACACATATATATATATATATATATATATATATATATATGCTGGAAAATGTGCATAAAAATACGACTCCTGGGCATGTCTATGGTACAAATAAAATACGAACACCAGGAGAGTATAAATATAAAAATATACTTTACTAAAAGCTGCCAAGCTTTCGTTTGGAAACTCCAAACATCATCAGGGCTAAGGAGCCAGTAAACAATGATGACTTAAATGGGTTTTGCCGGCATCTGTAAATATATATATATTTACATTTCCCCCAACAATCTGGGTCCTCATTTTACCTACCCCGGAAGGATGGAAGGCTGAGTCAACCTTGAGCCGGTGAGATTTGAACCGTTGACCTGCTGAACACAGTCAGCTAAAGTGGCCTGCAGTACTGCACTCTAACTGCTGCGCCACCTCGGTTGTTAAGTGAATCGCGCGGTCTGGCTTCCCCCACTGATTTTGCTTGACGGAAAGTTGCCAACCGTGATCACAGGACCCCGGGATGCTACCACCGTCATAAGTGCGTGCCAGTTGCCAAGTGTTTGAATTTTGAACATGTGACCACGGGGATGCTGCTGGAACGGTGGTAAGTGTGAAAAGAGGGCCATGTGACACTTCTGCTTTGAATATTCACTAAACGAAGGATTCAGAGTCAAGGACTACTTGGACCCTGAATGTCGTTTAATACAGTGGTTCTTAACCTGGGCGATATCGCCCCCCCAGGGGGCGATTTCGTTTTTCAGGGGGGCGAAGGAACAAAAAGGGGGCGATATGGGGGCCACGGAGCAAGACGTTTTGGGGACACGAGATTTTTTTCATACAGCGAATCGCTGTATATCTGTCGTACAAAAACATCCGTTCGCTCACTATTAGTGGATTGAATTGTGTTTTCAAATGTTCCTCCAGCTAGCTTCAAGACAGAATGTGCATAGGCATTGCTTATCTTCATGCGCGTTGAGCAGCAGCCTCTATCCTTTTTATATTTCTTTTTGTGTCTTAAATTTCACTTGTAATTCAATCATTAAATATTACTGTTTTTCTTTTCGGGCATTTCACTTTCTTGCCATTGACTTTTGTTTTCAGTGGGGTCATTACATTTAAGTGTCTTGAATAAATAAGATAATAATGAAATACATGTATCAAGAAGTTTGGGAATAAAGTGATGGGTGGCACCAAAATTTTTCACACAGTTGAGATATGGGAAAAAGACTGGAAATAAATTATTTGCATCCATATGTCCTGATGACAATGTTAAAGAAATCAAAACAAGTGTTTGCATAAGTTGAAGAATTATTTCCTATGTTGTGATTGAGAGGTTATGTTGGGGGAGGGGGGCGATGACAACTTCCTCATTGGCTCAAGGGGGCGATTCGTTCAAAAAGGTTAAGAACCACTGGCTTAATACACTTGCAATTTTTAAGAAAGATACAAACCCAGCTGGGAATGAGTTAGGTAACCCAAGGATCCCCAACACCTGATCCATGGACCGGTACCAGGCCACGGCATGCCAGCAACCGGTCTGCACAAACAAGCAAAGCCCCATCCACGGGATGCAGGCAGCACACAAAACCACGCACCCTCTGGTCCATGGATAAACCTCTCTCCACGGAACCGGTCCCTGGTGCCCCAAAGGTTGCGGGCACCGCTGATGTAACCCATAAATTAGGAGGAGGAGGAGGGGGAGGAGGAGGAGGAGGAGGAGGAGGAGGAGGAGGAGGAGGAGGAGGAGGAGGAGGAGGAGGAGAAAAATTGTGGTGTCCTTGATGCTCTCTGAGCTTGGTGATTTTCTTGCAGATGTTCCATCACCCAACTAGGTAACATCATCAATGGCAAACCCCACACCTCTTCACACTGATGATGTTCCCTAGTTGGGTCATGAATCGTCTGCAAGAAAACCACCAAGTTCAAACAGCACCAAGGAGCCCCGATAGGCCGGTTGCGAGGAGATCAGCTGGGTTCCTCCACACCCAGAGTACCTTTTCCAATCTGTAGGTCTTTCAAGATTTCAGTCAAGGTGAGCATCTTCCACTGCCACAGATCTGCCTCTTCCTTTGTCCTCTTCTCCAGCATGGCCACTTGCGAGAGAAGTAAAGACAGATGTCACTGGAGGACAAGAGACGGTATCTCCTGCACTTTCCTAAGAAAGATGGAGCTTCTTCCAAGAAGAGGTTGAATGAATTGTAGGTGGCGTTTCCAAACACATTTTCTTGTACTAATAGAAGAGGATATCTGTAGCCCAGGGTTGAATTGTGGGGTCCTTGGTGCTCTCTGAATTTGATTTTTTTTTTCTTGCAGACCAGCGGTTCTCAACCTGTGGGTTGGGACCCCATTTGGGGTTGAACAACCATTTCACGGGGGTCGCCAAACAACGCAGTCTGCCATTTCCCCCCCCCCCTTTTCCTTAGCTGTGCTACTCCCTTTTATTCTATTGGCTTTTGAAAGCCAATAGAATAGTCTCTCTTGAATAGAGTCTAATTCTATTGGCTTTCAAAAGCCAATAGGAATTGTCCAGGCTGTCTCTGCCCTGCTGAGCCCGCCAAAAGTCCCATTCTGCAAACGGTGCTGCACCAGTTGAGTAGTCCTCGAGTTACAACCGGTTGAGTAGTCCTCGACGTACGACTGGCTGGGGGTCGCGGCATTAAAAAGGTTGAGAACCACTGTTGTAGACCTTTCATGACCAATCTAGGTCACATCATCAGTGCTAGAAGGGAGGGGGTTTCTAGCACAGTAATATTCCTGCGTTGGACCATGAAACATCTGTAAGAAAACCACCAAGCTCAGAAAGTTCTGAATGCTCCAACACTAGAAGTTTTTAAGAGGCGATTGGACAATCGTTTGTCTGAAATGGTACAGGGTCTTCTGCTTGAGCAGCAGGGAGTTGGACTAGATGATCTCCAAGGTCCCTTCCAACCCTACTTCAGGCAGTCCTTGGCTTGCAACCAGAGCCCAAAATTTCTGCTGCTAACTGAGACAATTGTTAACTGAGTTTTGCTCCATTTTACGACTTTTCTTTCTCCAGTTTTTAAGTGAATCACTGCAGTTGTTAAGTTAGTAACCTGGCTGATAAGTGGATCTGTTCCCCCATGACTTTGCTTGTCGGAAGGTCGCAAAAGAGGATCACGTGACCCCGGGATGCTGCGACGGTCATAAATATGAATCAGTTGTCGAGCGTCTGAATTCTGATCACATGACCCTGGAGATGCTGCGACGGTCGTAAGTGTGAAAAAACGTCATGAGTCCCTTTTTTCAGTGCCGTTGTAACTTTGAGAGAATGGTTGTAAAGTGAGGAATACATCATCATCATCATCATAAAGTTGGAATGGATGTTGGAGGTTATCTAGTCCAATCCCCTACCATTTCGGACAAATGGCTGTCCAGTCTCTTCTTAAAAACTTCCAGTGTTGGAGCATTCACCACTTCTGGAGGCAGGTAGTTCCACTGGTTAATCATTCTAACTGTCAGGAAGTTTCTCCTTAGTTCTAGGTTGCTTTTCTCCTTGGTTAGTTTCCACCCATTGCTTCTTGTCCTGCCTTCAGGGGCTTTGAAGAACAGCTTGACTCCCTCTTCTTTGGGACAACCCCTGAGATACTGGAAGACTGCTATCATGCCCCCCCCTCGTCCTTCTCTTCATTAAACTAGACATCCCCAATTCCAGCAACCGTTCCTTATATGTTTTAGCCTCCAGTCCCCTGATCATCTTTGTTGCTCTTCTCTGCACTCTTTCTAGAGCAGTGGTTCTCAACCTTTTTAATGCCACGACCCCCAACCGGTTGTAAGTCGAGGACTACTCAACCAGTCGTAAGTCGAGGACTACTCAACTGGTGCAGCACCGTTTGCAGAATGGGACTTTTGGTGGGCTCAGCAGGGCAGAGACAGCTGGACAATTCCTATTGGCTTTTGAAAGCCAATAGAATTAGACTCTATTCAAGAGAGTCTATTCTATTGGCTTTCAAAAGCCAATAGAATAAAAGGGAGTAGCACAGCTAAGGAAAAGGGGGGAAAAATGGCGGACTGCGTTGTTTGGTAACCCCCGTGAAATGGTCGTTCGACCCCAAATGGGGTCCCGACCCACAGGTTGAGAACCACTGTTCTAGAGTCTCAGCATCTTTTTTACATCGTGGTGACCAAAACTGGATGCCGTATTCCAAGTGTGGCCTTACCAAGGCCGTGCAAAGTGGTATTAACCCTTCACCTGATCTTGATTCTATCCCTTTGTTAATTCTATGTTCTAAGATGAGATGTTAGTGAGCCTCTTCCCATCAGCCTCCTTGATCTACCTTTCAGATTCATGAGCGTCACCAAGAGGAGCAGGATCACACAGATGGAGAGGAGGCCAATGGCGGAGCAAGGCCAGCTGGTACCATCTGCGAAAGGGAAGAAGGAAAGTACCAAGGAGAGATGAGAACAGAGGAAGACAACCAGGCTCCCCAAATTGTTGTCGGAAGAGATTCTCTTCACAGGAGCCACTGAGCTATCAGGCAGAATAATTGAAGGGTGTTTTTTCCTCAATGGTTTTTTTTTTTATTTTTTTGGGTAAGCTGCCCGGAGTAACTTCAGATGGCTAAATTAAAAGGTAAAAGGTAAAAGATAAGGTGAAGTGACGTGAAGTTGGAGAGAAGGGAAGGGATAAAATAAACATCCCAACTACACTGCCAGGGCAAACCATTTGTATATATCAACAGACAGCAGCCCACCCCCCCATCCTTCTAACACTGATGATGCTCCCTAGTTGGGTTATGGGGTATTTGCAAGAAAACAACGCAGCTCAGAGAGCACCAGGGACCCCACACATAAATGACAATAATAATATAAAGTGCAGTAATAAATAAAGTACAAGGAGCAAAACAAAACAATAAATAAAATAAAAAATAATAAAATAAAAAATAATAAAATAAAATAAACAAAACAAAATAATTGCAGGTATACGAAGAGCTTATACACCGGAGACTAATTCCTTGTATGTCTTGGCCAATGAAGTATTTGATTCTATTCTAAAATAATAAAATAAAAATAAAATAAAATTAAATAAAACAATAAAAGTAAAATAAAAAATAAAATAACATAAAATATAAAATAATACCATAAAATATAAAATAATACCATAAAATAATGAAATGAAATGAAATGAAATAAAATAATTGCATGTACACTAAGAGCTTATACACCAGAGACAAATTCCTTGTATTTCTTGGCCAATAAAGTATTTGATTCTATTCTAAAATAATAAAATAAAATAAAAATAAAATAAAATAAAACAATAAAAGTAAAATAAAAAATAAAATCATAAAATATAAAATACCATAAAATATAAAATAATACCATAAAATAATGAAATGAAATAAAATGAAATGAAATAAAATAAAATAAAATAATTGCATGTACACTAAGAGCTTATACACCAGAGACAAATTCCTTGTATGTCTTGGCCAATGAAGTATTTGATTCTATTCTAAAATAGGAAAATAAAATAAAAATAAAGTCAATTTAAAACAATAAAAGTAAAATAAAAAATAACATAACATAATAACATAATATAATAAAATATAATATAAATAACATAATAAAATAAAAATTAAAATAAAATAATAAAATAAAATAATAAAATGAAATGAAATTCCTCTCCCACTGCTGGAGCCACTTCCTGCCCTGCTCTCCCCTCCAGGCCCAGATCATCTGCAGGCCTCGTTCCATCGGGGTCTCTCCAGCCCTCGTGGGGGTCTGAGATCCTACAAAGCCGAGGGACCCAGGACTCAATCTGGGCTCCTCTGCCCTGCGGTCCCTGGCTGACCGCGTGGCAACAAGACCCCCCCCCCAAGGGACCATCCAGTCGGGCCCCTGGTCACCCCTGAATAGGCCGAGCAGGGCCCCTGGGAAGCCCTTGCGGCCGTCTTCTGCGGCCAGGCCTGGGCTGGACGTCTTGCAGCCCCCGCCTCCCAGATGTGGCCCCTCTCCTCCTCCTCCTCCTTCAGAGGCTTACTCTGGGGAACATGGGGGGGCCGAGAAGGGCCCCCCTCAGCTTGCACCTTCTTGGAGGATGACTGCTGCAGGGGGCCACGGCTGCGCAACTCGGAGGGGTCACTGTCCAGCGAGAACTCCCGGGACGCCCCCAGTTTGGGGGTCCCTCTGGGCCGCCCAGAGATCTCCTCTCCAGGGCTGACTTTGGGGGTCTTAAACATGGCAGCCGGGGCCTCCCTTGGATCTCCCTCAGTGCCCCTCACACAGGCCAGGCAAGGCCTCAGAAGCCCCCCAAATATCTTGGGGGGGGTCCACAGCTCCAGAGGGGGGGCGGCCTGTCCCGTCCGAGGGGGCCTGGGAGCTTCGTTAGGCGGGGGGGCTTCCCTGGGGACCAAGAGAGGCAGTTCAGTTTGGAGGTCCAGAGGGAGGTTCATAGGCCCCTCCCTCCTGGGCGGGGTTATAACCAAGGGACTCCATTTCCCAGAATGCCCCTCTTCGCCCAATTGCTCCCCTGGGGTGCTGGCCCCTCCCACCTGTCAATTCCCCCCTCCCCGAAGAGGGGAAGCAATGGCCGCGAGCCAAGCACGTTGTCCCAGGCATTCCCCCTCCCCAAAGCAGATTTTTCTCCCTGCGGCTGCACTGGGGCAGTGCCGGACATTGGGGGCCATCTTGGCCCTACCGTTGAGGCGGGGGGGGGAGGCTGCAAAGGGAGGGGGGGTCTTCCTGCCATGCAAATAAAATAAAAAGTGGCCTTTGCAGCTCTACGCAACAGCATTTTGGGGGCGGAGGGGTTAGGGAGCCCCTTGGAGACAGTTCGAGGCCTGGCGTGGGGAGCAGGCCAAATCGGGGCCATTCACACAACCCTCCTTTGCCTTCTGCCCTTCTTGGGCCCGGAGGCTTCCTCATGGGGGTTGCAAGGCTCTCCGCAGGCAGCCTGCTTTGGCTTCCCAGCTGTTCCTCCTTTGGGCCCAGGCAGCAGCCGCCATCTTCAGCTCTCCTTGCACCACAGGCCTCCCAGTGTCTGGAACTCCCACCCGGCCCTGGAAAGGCCTCAAAAGGGCCGTGTGGCATTTTGTCATCTATCATCCATTGGTCCACTCAACCCATCCTTCTCTCTCTCTCTCTAATTTAGCTATGTCTGTCTATCTATCATCTATCTACAATCTATATGATCTATCTCTAGCATCTATTTATAATCTATCTATATCATTTTTAAAATCTATATTACCTATCTATCTATCTCCATTTATCCAGTCTCTGTCTATCTATCATCTACCTACCTACCTATCTCTAATCTATCTCTATTATCTATTGATAAACTATCTATAATCATCTATTTATCATCTATCTATAATCTACCTACCTACCTATTATCATCTATTTATAATCTATTTATAATCAATCTATCTATCTATCCATTATCTATCTATCTGTCTGTCTGTCTGTCTGTCTGTCGGTCTATTTATAATGTATTTATCTACCTATCTATCTATCCATCCATTATCTATCTATCTATCTATCTATCTATCTATCTATCTATCTATCTATCTCTGTCTGTCTGTCTGTCTCTATTATCTATCTATCTATCTATCTATCTATCTATCTATCTATCTATCATCTATCTATCTCTATCATCTACCTACTACCTACCTATCTCTCTCTCTCTCTCTGTCTCTATAATCTAGCTATCTATCTGTCTATCTATCTATCATCTACCTACTACCTACCTATCTATCTATCTATCTATCTATCTATCTATCTATCTATCTATCTATCTATCTATCTCTCTATTTATAATCTATATAATTATAATTTATAATCAATATAATCTATTGATTATCTGTCTATCTATCTATTGATAATCTATCTATTATCATCTATTTATAATCTATCTATTTATAATCTATCCATCTATCTATCTATCTATCTATCTATCTATCTATCTATCTATCTGTTTCTGTCCCTCCGTCCATCCTTCCCTCCCTCCCTCCCTCCAACATAAAATGCCATCTGTTTCTTCTTCAGCTCAGAGCAGCTGCTCCCCTCCTCGACCGCCGTCCGTTGAGTTGAATCAAACGCAAACTGGTGGCTTTGGTTTTGCTTTGCTCCCATCTCCTTGGCAAGAGGACGGGGAGGTTAGCCATCCAAGGTACGAATCTGCCCAGGAGCAGGGGAGGGGGGGTGACTCCAAGCTGTGCCAGAAGCTTCTGGGGAGGGGGGACCCAGCCTCCCTCCGTCTGAAAAGTGCCAACAGGGCCCCCCTGGCAGTGCAGTGGCAGTTGGCATCCCAACCTCAACTGTGAATCCGAGAACAGGGACAAACCCATTCCCCCCCCCCGGTGGTGCCAGGGCCAGCCGAGCAAGGATGCCAGCCCAGGGGTCTCGCTCCCCACTCGGGGCCTGGTCCCGCTCCTCCCTCCGGATCTTCTACCAGACTCCCCAGCAGGCAAAAACACCCCAGAGAGGACCAGCTTTCTGGAGCAACTCGGCGGCAGCCAAGTTGCCCCAGAAGCAGAAGGTCTTCCTGGCCAGGAAGAAGAAGTACAATCTAGGCCTCTCGCCCCCCAGTGAGTGGGGTGCCAGGCTGCCCCGGCACAGGCCTGGGAGGGGGGGGACTGGGGGTCTTTGTTTGGGGGGGAGTAGTGGCCTATGGGCCTTGCAAAATGGCTCTCTTGCTTAGAAGTCCTTTGCGATTCTTTGCAAACCTTCCCTGCCTTTCTGGCTCTTTTCCCTAGGTTGAACTGCTTCCTGGTGGCCATGAGGACTAGAAACCTTGCCTCCGTTGGAGGCTGCACCGTGTAGGGGGGTTGGGAAGGGAAAGGAGGCTGCAGGTGGGTCTTGGACAGGGACCTCTTTGCAGCTAAGCAGCAAAATTAAGACGAATTTCTGGCCTACTCCTTGAAATGGCAGGATGATCGTCATAGCTATAATTTAATTATAGCAACAACAAACCAAGATGGTTCAAGATGGCTAGCAAGCCGGCCTGTTCCCTCTTTGGTGCTTCTTGTGGTCTAGGGCCTTAGGTAGTTTAATTGTGCTTTTGAACTGTCATCCGTTTCTAAGAGTAATCTAAACTCAAAACTTGATCCATTTTTAATTTTATTTAAATTCACTCTTCGTTCTATTTTAATTTAAATTCAAATGATAAACTGCTTAAATTCAAAGAGGACTCCATTTTAATTTCTATTTAAATATTAATCCACTTTGCTTTGCAGTGAGAATTGAATCCATTTTAATTTAAATTCAAATTTTAAACGGTTTAAGGCTAAATTCCATTAATCTATTTTCAATTAAATCCAAATGGTAGTCCGTTTAATTTAAATTCAAATTTTAATTCTTTTTTAATTTAATTTAAATGAGGCCAATGGGATAAATTTAAATTTTATTTCTGCTGCAGAATAGTTTTCCTCAACTTTGAAAAAGTTTTTTATGACTGTTTTTCAGCATCCCCATGATCAAAATTCCTCCTCCTCCTCCTCCTCCTCTCCACACTCCCTTCTAACTTTGGTGAGGTTACCTAGTTGGATAATGAAATGTCTACAAGAAAACAGCCAAGCTCAGAGAGCACTAAGGACCCCACAGTCTTTATATCTTCCTCCTCCTCCTCCTCCTCCTCCTCCTCCTCCTCCTCCTCCTCCTCCTCCTCCTCTCTGCAAACCCCACTCCCTTCTAACACTGATGATGTTCCCTAGTTGGATAATGAAATGTCTACAAGAAAACAGCCAAGCTCAGAGAGCACTAAGGACCCCACAGTCTTTATATCTTCCTCCTCCTCCTCCTTCCACAAACCCTACTCCCTAACTCCCTCTCCCTTCTAGCACTGATGATGTTCCCTAGTTGGGTCATGAAATGCCTACAAGAAAACAACTATCCTCGGAGAACACCACGATTGAACGCTGAGCTACAAATATTCTCTCCTATCGGTAACGGGATTTCTTGTTTGTTTTCCACCAGAATTCTTTGGCATAACCAGTTGGGCACAATTACTTGCCGTTTTCTTAGCGGTGGTAGCTCTGGCCCTGTTCTCCCTGCTGATGGGTTTCCTTAACATCTGTAAGTATCTCTGCTTCTCCCAGCCTTCCGATCTCATTCCTGTGTAGATTAGAGAGAATAGAGTAGAGAAGAGAGAGAAGAGAGAGAAGAGAATGAAGGATAGAATAGTAGAGTAGAGTAGAGGAGAGGAGAGGAGAGGAGAGGAGAGTATAGAGAATAGAGAATAGAAGAGAGGAGAGAATGAAGGATAGAATAGAATAGAATAGAATAGAATAGAATAGAATAGAATAGAATAAGAATAAGAATAATGAAGAATAGAATAGAATAGAATAGAATAGAATAGGAATAAGAATAAGAATAAGAATAATGAAGAATAGAATAGAATAGAATAGAATAGAATAGAATAATAGAATAGAATAATAGAATAGAAATACAGAATAGAAATACAGAATAGAATAGGAATAGAACAGAATAGGAATAATGAAGAATAGAATAGAATAGAATAGAATAGAATAGAATAGAATAGAATAGAATAGAATAATAGAATAGAAATACAGAATAGAAATACAGAATAGAATAGGAATAGAACAGAATAGGAATAATGAAGAATAGAATAGAATAGAATAGAATAGAATAGAATAGAATAGAATAGAATAATAGAATAGAAATACAGAATAGAAATACAGAATAGAATAGGAATAGAACAGAATAGGAATAATGAAGAATAGAATAGAATAGAATAGAATAGAATAGAATAGAATAGAATAGAATAGAAATACAGAATAGAAATACAGAATAGAATAGGAATAGAACAGAATAGGAATAATGAAGAATAGAATAGAATAGAATAGAATAGAATAGAATAGAATAGAATAGAATAGAATAGAATAGAATAGAATAGAATAATAGAATAGAAATACAGAATAGAAATACAGAATAGAATAGGAATAGAACAGAATAGGAATAATGAAGAATAGAATAGAATAGAATAGAATAGAATAGAATAGAATAGAATAGAATAATAGAATAGAAATACAGAATAGAAATACAGAATAGAATAGGAATAGAACAGAATAGGAATAATGAAGAATAGAATAGAATAGAATAGAATAGAATAGAATAGAATAGAATAGAATAGAATAGAATAGAGAGTAGAGAAAAGAAGAGACAAGAGAGGAGAGGAGAGAAGAGAAAAGAAGAGAAGAGAAGAAAATGAAGGATAGAATAGAGTGGAGTGGAGTGGAGTGGAGTGGAGTGGAGTAGAGTAGAGTAGAATAGAGTAGAGTAGAGAAGAGAAGAGAAGAGAAGAGTAGAGAAGAGAAGAGAAGAGAAGAGAAGAGAAGAGAAGAGAAGAGAAGAGAAGAGTTGGAAGGGATCTTGTAGGTCATCTAGTCCAACCCCGTCCCCCACCATCCTGGAAAAAGTTGAAGGAAAATCTTCTTCTGCCCAATACTCTTTAGACCCATCACCAGCCTCTCACTGATGACTCACACCTAACCCATCACAAGATCCTCACTTGACACACGCACACCTGAAGCCCTTATAAGCAGGAGAACGCCGACATTGACACCCCCTAAACACCCCTGAAGATGTTACCCAGCCTGGTAACGAAACGTTCGGAAACCAACCCACAAGCTCAGAGAATGAATATTCTCCCTCATCCTTCACCTGAGCTAGAGACATTTGCCACTATTGCAAGTCTCTGGTTTACTTCCCCTCCGTTTCAGATATCCAGAAGGCCGACACATTAAATGCCCAAACTCTCCTGATGAGGACCAGGGAGAAAAGGCTGAACGATGCTATCAAACTGTTGGCGGGAGACCAAGGTAAGCCTCTCCCCCGTCTTTGCTCCTCCTGGCTCCCAAACGGGGGGACCGCCCTGCGCAGCTTCAGGCTTTGGGTAGAAAAGACAACCCTGTGCTTTTTCAGAAGGGAGCTATCCACCCCTTGTATGGCTAACCGTGTTTTAACTAACCAGGTTTTATGACTAACTGGGTTTTAACTTTAGCAAGACCCCACATGGAATACTGCGTTCAGCTTTGGTCACCACATTACAAAACAGACGTTGAGACGAATAATGTGTGTATAAACAGAGAACAAACCTCACCCCTTTCTTGTACTGATGATGTTACTTAGTTGGGTCATGAAATGTCTGCAAGAAAACAAGTAGGTTCAGAGAACAATAAGGACTCCACAGTCCTCCTGCTCCTGCTCCTCCTGCTCCTCCTCCTTGCAAACCCATCCCTTCTAGCACTGATGATGTTACCTAGCTGGGTCATGAAACATCTGCAAGAAAACCACCAAGCTCAGAGAGCACTGAGGATCCACAGTCCTCCTCCTCCTCCTCCTCCTCCTCCTCCTCCTCCTCCTCCTCCGCCCTGCAAATGCTACTCCCTTCTAGCTGTGATGACGTTCCCTAGTTGGGTCATGAAATGTCTGCAAGCAAAAAAACGAGCTTAGAGAGCATCAAGGACCCCTCAATCCTCCTTTTCCTTCTCTTCCTGCCTCCTCTTCCTCCTCCTCCTCCACTCAGCAACCCCACTCCCTTCTAGCTCTGATGATGTTACCTAGTTGGGTCATGAAACGCCTACAAGAAAACAACCAGGACCCCAGAGTCTGGATCTACACCCAAAGCCCCGAGGACTTGGCAATGGCTGCCTCATCCAAAGAGGGCATTAGAAGGGAGGCCTTAGGTAGGAGAGGTAGAGAAAAAAATAATTTCAGGGACTTCGCCGCCCTCCCAGTTGTGTAAAGCTCTACTCCCCTCATCTTCAGCTACTCCTTCCGGCCCTCAACTCAGCCTTCCTCCCCCCCAGTTCTGAAGAGGGTGTGTACGTGCGAAGGGAGAAGAACGGGACGAGTGAGCCTGGGGGAAGGAGTGCCTGTGCTTTTCTCTCCCCTTGGCCTCCTCTCCTTCTCTAGGTCAACACTGCAAACCCTGCGGGGACTACACCTGGCTGCAACGGGCGGAAGGCTGCTACCGATGGACGGATGGCTTGATGCCCTGGAGAACCTGCGAGGACGAATGCCAGAGGCAGGGAGGCCGGCTGGTCAAGGCCGACACGGAAGGGGAAATGGTGAGACTTCTCGCCATTAGTGGAACTGGGGGTGAGGAGGTGGGGGGGTGGGTGCGGGGGGGGGCTCCCTGCATGTTCCTGGATTTGAAATCCTCTCTCCCCCCTCTCTCTGTCTCTCATCTATCTCTATCTCTGTCGGTCTGTCTATCTGTCTATTCCATCTCTTTCCTCTCTCTCTCATCTGTCTGTCTGTCTCTCTCTCTCTCTCTATTCAATCTCTCTCTCTCTATCTATCTATCTCCTGTCTGTCTATCTATTCCATTTCTTTCCTCTCTCATCTGTCTGTCTGTCTGTCTGTCTCTATTCCATTTCTCTCTTTCTCTCTCTCTCTCATTTATCTGTCTGTTTGTCTCTATCTATCATCTATCTTGCTATCTATCTTCTATCTATCTATCTATCTATCTATCTATCTATCTATCTATCTATCTACCTCAACCTACCTTTCTAATATCTACTGTGTCTGTCTCTGTCTCTATTCTATTTCTCTTTCTCTCTCCTCATCTATCTGTCTATCTCTGTTTGTATCTATCTATCTATCTATCTATCTATCTATCTATCTATCTATCTCTGTCTATCTATCTATCATCTATCTCACTATTATCTATCTATCTATCTATCTATCTATCATCTATCTCACTATTATTTATCTATCTATCATCTATCTCACTATTATCTATCTATCTATCATCTATCTCACTATTATCTATCTATCTATCTATCATCTATCTCACTATTATCTATCTATCTATCTATCATCTCCCACTATTATCTATCTATCTATCTATCTATCTATCTATCTATCTATCTATCTATCTCACTATTATTATCTATCTATCTATCTATCTATCTATCTATCTATCTATCTATCTATCTATCTATCTCTCAACCTACCTTTCTAATATCTACTGTGTCTGTGTCTCTATTCCATTTCTCTCTCTTTCTCTCTCTCTCATCTATGTCTGTCTGTCTGTCTGTCTATCTATCTATCTATCTATCTATCTATCTATCTATCTATCTATCTATCTATCTATCATCTATCTCTATTCCATCTCTCTCTCTCTACCTACTTACCTATCTTCCTACCTTCCTACCATCATTTGTCTATATGTATTTATCCATTCTATCCCCTCCTCTCTCTCTCTCTCTCTCTCTCTCTCTCTCTCTCTCTCTCTCTCTTTCTATATCTCTCATCTCTCAAAACAAGGCTGGGCCACCATTTGCCTGGGATAGGAGCCGAGGTGGCGCAGCAGTTAGAGTGCAGTACTGCAGGCCACTTTAGCTGACTGTGTTCAGCAGGTCAGCGGTTCAAATCTCACCGGCTCAAGGTTGACTCAGCCTTCCATCCTTCGGGGTAGGTAAAATGAGGACCCAGATTGTTGGGGGCAATGTAAATATATATATATACATTGCTTACTGGTGTACACCGCTTAGAGAGTGCTTGCACTTAAAGCGGTATATAAGTCTCATAAATAAATAAATAGCATATGTTTTCCTGCTCGTGCAGAGGGTTGGACTAGAAGACCTCCAAGATCCCTTACAGCTCTGTTGTTCTTTTATAGAAGTAAAGTCTCTGGTTTTGTCTCGATATACACTTTAAGAGTCTTCCTGATCAAGAGGTGAACTCTACTCCAACATTTCTTTACGTGAATGGGTGGACGTTGCCAAGGTGCACGGTGACCCCTGTCCTTGGGCGCCCAGAATTTGGGGTGGTTTCCTGCGGACAGCCCCGAGTTCCCACCTTCCTGGGCTGTGGCCAGACTCCGACCGGCCTCTTATTCCTAGGAATTCCTGCTCCGAGAGTCCCACAAATGGGTCATCCTGGTTAACCACAGCTACGTCCTGCAGAGGACCTGGATCGGTTTGTTCTTCAACCTGTCTCGGGGGACCTGGCACTGGGCAGACGGAGGCTTCCTGCACCTCCGGATGTGAGTTTCCCCTCTTCACCCCCCCCCCCGGGGCTGCGTGGGCAAGAGGCGGAGCTCATCGGGGGGGGGGCCTTTAAACTTTAAAAGATCTTTTAAAATGTTTTCGAAATCCTTTTTCCAAAAGTCGGAGAATGCTGGCCTTAGCCTGACTCCTGAAGGGACACCAAGTCCTGCTTTAAAGAGCAGCCGATGTTAGGTAATAATAATAATAATAGTAATAATAATAGTAGTAAAGTTGGAAGGGACCTTGGAGGTCATCTAGTCCAACCCCCTGCTCAGGCAGGAAACCCTACACCATTTCGGACAAAGGGCTGTCCAATCTCTTCTTAAAAACTTCCAGTATTGGAAGGAGGGAGGGAGGGACGAAGGAAGGAAAAAAGAATAACAGAACAACAGATGGAAGGGACCTTGGAGGTCATCTAGTCCAACCCCCTGCTCAGGCAGGAAACCCTACACCATTCCGGACAAATGGCTGTCCAGTCTCTTCTTAAAAACTTCCAGTGTTGGAGCATTCACCGCTTCTGGAGGCAGGTGGTTCCACTGGTTAATTGCTCTCAGTGCCAGGAAATTTCTCCTTAGTTCTAGGTTGCTTCTCTCCTTGATTAGTTTCCACCCGTTACTTCTTGTCCTGCCTTCAGGTGCTTTGGAGAATAGCTTGACTCCCTCTTCTTTGGGGCAGCCCCTAAGATACTGGAAGACTGCTATCCTGTCCCCCCTCGTCCTTCTCTTTGTTAAACTAGACATACCCAATTCTAGCAACCGTTCCTTATATGTTTTAGCCTCCAGTCCCCTAATCATCTTTGTTGCTCTTTTTTCTAGAGTACAGAGAACACACCCGTCCCGGTGGTCCTGGACATACGACAGTTTGTTTAGTGGCCGTTCAAAGTTACAACGGTTATATTGTATTAAATTTGTAAAACTTTTAATAAAAGAAAAAATATAAAAAAGTTACAACGGCGCTGAAAAAAGGGACTCGTGACTGGTTTCCACGCAGCATCCCCACCACGGAGCTCAAAATTCCTGTTGCTAAGTGGGACAGTCCTTCAGTGAGTTTTGCTCTGTTTTATGACCTTCCTTGCCATACCTGTTAAGTGAAACACTGCAGTTGTTAAGTGATTAACATGGTTGCTAAGCAGATCTGGCTTCCCCACTGGGGTTTATGGGAAACTTGCCACAGGAGAAGAGTTACCCTAAATACAAGGTTAGGCAACCTTGGCTCTTTTATGACTGGTGGACTTCAACTCCCAGAATTCCTGGGCCAGCCATGCTGAGGGGAAAGGGAGAGATTTCCAAGCTGAGCCAGGCAGGCTCAGGAATTCTGGGAGTTGAAGTCCACGAGTCATGAGGGGGCCATAGTTCCCCCATGCTGGTCGAGGAATTATGGGAGTTGAAGTCCACCAGTCATGAGGGGGCCATAGTTCTCCCATGCTGGCTGAGGAATTCTGGGAGTTGAAGTCCGCAAGTCATGAGGGGGCCATAGTTCCCCCATGCTGGCTGAGGAATTCTGGGAGTTGAAGTCCGCAAGTCATGAGGGGGCCATAGTTCCCCCATGCTGGCTGAGGAATTCTGGGAGTTGAAGTCCATGAGTCATAGAAGAGCCAAAGTTGCCTACCCCTGCCCTAATATCAAACAAAGGGCGGAATAGAATCATTAAAGAAAGGATGCCGAAGGAGGGACAACATGAAATGGGAACGACAAAAGATTTAAACTATTTTCTTTTCTTCATTTTAAATAATTAAATTGAATGGTTAAATTCTCCTGCAGCCAGTTGTCCCGTGGCAAGTTCGCCATGTCGAGCTTTCCTGTGGCAGCGACAAATTAGTAATAGTAATAGTAGTAAAGTTGGAAGGGACCTTGGAGGTCATCTAGTCCAACCCCCTGCTCGGGCAGGAAACCCTACGCTATTTCGGACAAATGGCTGTCCAGTCTCTTCTTAAAAACTTCCAGTGTTGGAGCATTTACTGCTTCTGGAGGCAGGTTGTTCCACTGATTAATTGTTCTCATGTCAGGAAGTTTCTCCTTAGTTCTAAGTTGCTTCTCTCCTTGATTAGTTTCCACCCGTTGCTTCTTGTCCTGCCTTCAGGTGCTTTGGAAAATAGCTTGATTTCCTCTTCTTTATGGCAGCCCCTGAGATATTGGAATACTGCTATCATGTCCCCCTTCGTCCTTCTCTTCGTTAAACTAGACATACCCAATTCTAGCAACCGTTCCTTATATGTTTTAGCCTCCAGTCCCCTAATCATCTTTGTTGCTCTTCTCTGTACTCTTTCTAGAGTCTCTCAACATCTTTTTTACATCGTGGTGACCAAAACTGGATGCAGTATTCCAAGTGTGGCCTTTACAAGGCATTGAAGAGTGGTATTAATACTTCCAGTGATCCTTGATCTATCCCTCTGTTAATGCAGCCTAGCACTGTGTTAGCCTTTTTGGCAGCTGCAGCACACTGCTGGCTCATATTTAGGTGATTGTCTACTAGGACTCCGAGGTCCCTCTCACAGTTACTACTATTGAGCATGGTGCCACCTATGCTGTACTTGTGCATTTGGTTTTTCTTGCCAAAATGTAGAACCTTGCTTTTTTCACCATTGAATTTCATTTTGTTAGTTAGTGCCCAGTGTTCAAGTCTGTCCAGATCCTTCTGTATCTGAAGCCTGTCTTCTGGAGTGTTGGCTATTCCTGCCAGCTGGGTGTCGTCTGCAAATTTGATGAGTTCCCCATCTATCCCTTCATCCAAATCGTTGATGACGATGTTGAAGAGTACTGGGCCCAGAACAGAGCCTGGGGACACTCCCACTACACATTCCCTCCATATAGATGCAGTTTCCATTGAGGGACCACTCGCTGAGTACGGTAGGTCAGCCAGCTACGGATCCATATGGTTGGTGGTTCGTTACCCCACATTTTTCTATCTTGTCAAGTGTAGGTTGTGATCTACTTTATCAAATGCCATTACTGAAGTCCATGTATAATTATGTCCACAGCATTCCTCTGATCCACTAATTTTGTCACTTGTCAAAGAATGCAATAAGATTTGTCTGGCATGATCTATTTTTGACAAACCCATGTTGTCTTTTAGTAATGACTTTGTTTGCCTCTAGGTGTTCTTTGATTCGTTGTTTGATTATCTTTTCCAGGATCTTCCCAGGTATTGAGGTCAGGCTGATAGGTCTGTAATTTCCTGGATCCATTTTTTTCCTTTTTTGAGGATGGGAACTACATCAGCTCTTTTCCAGTCCTCTGGTAGTTCCCCTGTGTTCCAGGATCTTTGACAAATATAGTTCAGTGGCTCCGATATCACATCTGCCAGTTCCTTGAGAACTCTGGGGTGTAATCCATCTGGTCCTGGCGATTTGAACTCATCTAGGCTGGACAGGTGCTCACTAACGATTTTCTTGCCTATCTTAACTTGTGTTTCTGTTTTGTTTTTTGTGGCACTATTTTTGATAGTTTGGTCTGTTTTTTCCCTTTGTGTAAAGACAGATGCAAAAAATGAGTTAAATAGTTCTGCTTTCTCCCTGTTGCTTGTCACCTTCTTGCCACTTCCACCCACTAATGGACCAATCATTTCCTTCACTTTTTTCTTGTTTTTTTACATGTTGAAAGAAGCTTTTTTTTGTTATTTTTGACTTTGGTCGCAAGCCTTAGTTCATTTTGAGCCTTGGCTTTCTTCACGTCATCTTTGCAGGCTCGGGCTATTTGCTGATATTCTGACTTAGTTATGTTCCCCTCTTTCCACTTTCTATACTTGTCCTTTTTATCTTTCAATTTGTCAGAGAGTTCTTTATGCAGCCCTGCTGGTTTCTTTTGAGAGCTGTTATTTTTCCTCT